TTTTTCTTTTACCCATTCCAGATTGTCTCTCATACAAAAGTATTTTCACTGAAATTGAAATTTATATCTGCTGCTGACAAACACATTTGCTTGTGTAAAGCCTGCTAAGGTGAGTGCTTGTTTTGGAGAACTAAAATAGGAAAATGAAGAGATTTTTGTCCAAAACATTTTGTTTGGGTTCCTCCCCTCCACACAGCTCAGTTTATTTGAGAGATCATTCACAAAGAACTGTTGGTTGCCCTTTGATACTCTTTTTATGTTGCCATTCTTCATCTACGAGTAGTGCAGCCTCTTCAATAGTGGGAAAGTGTATCTGTGCCGCACCCAATCCTGTTTGCACTAAATGTTCCCTTGTACATTGTTTACAGCAGATTCACTGGATAATAATCAAAGCAGGAATCTTGGTGATTTTCCTTTTCCTTTCTCTATTTCAAGGCTGTTCAAGACCAAACGTGACCTCCCAGCCACTACCTGTCTGTAATCAGCGTATACTCGAGCAATGTCCAAGGTTAAAATTTCCTACCCTGCTAGTCTGTATGGCTGTCTTCCAGACTTCACTGTACATTCACAGAATTGTGCTACAAAAAAATAAGTTAAAGGTTAGCTTTTCTGATTCCTCGCCCATGGCATTCTACTTGGCCTACCCCAAAAACACTATCTTGGCATTGAATGGGAAATCATTAATGGTACTCCCTGTAGTTTTCTGAATTGTGCTCGCAACAAATCAAGTATTTTGCCAAAGGACAAAGAAACCAACAATGTCTCCTTGTTAAGTATGTATCAAGTTTCATTACAGTTCTGGTTGTACCTATTCATTCCTTTGGAAATGTCTATTTTTCTGTTCAGTTTTTAAATCTCTGTTTTTGAATAAGTTCCTTTCATGTTCATATTATGCAAAAAACATGCATATGCTAATAACATATAACAAAGTTTCATATGGTCCACATGCTTGTTCAGGACCGTCACACCTGCCTGAACTTTATACATCACTGGTCCTGACCTGGGGTCGACCATGCCTCTTACCCACATGGGGCCATTTCCGTGATTCTTACACCAGACTTCATCCCCTGTATCAAATTGTCTCTCTTGCTTGGCGGAGTCTTGTTGTCCAGTACTGGAGTTCCTGAGGCCATTTCACCCTGTCCCCCATGTCCAGGAAGATCAGACATAATTTGGTGCAGAGTCTTCCACTATTTAGGTGGTGTTATCCCTGTAGTTGCACTTGGGGTGTTCCAATATCAAATAAGAACCATGACAGCTTGGTATCTAGCGAGGCTTCAAGGGAGCCTTCAAAGATTGGACTGCTCTTTCTGCCAGGCCATTGGATGATGGGTGGTACGGAGCTGTCCTTATGTGTTGAATCCCATTCGACTTTAAGAAATAACCAAATTCTCTGCTGATGGCCTATTACGTGTGACTAACGCTTCCAGGAAGGACTCTGTGTGTTGAAAGCGATGAGCTCAATTTTTCTATCATCATCCCTGTGTTTGACGAATCAACCACTTTGAGTGGGCATCTACAATGACTAAGAACACTGAATTCATGAAAGGACCTGCATTGTCAACAAATTCGATCTGACCAGAGCTTTATACAGCCTTAGCAGTACGTCTCTGCTCTTTTATTCCAGCCTTCTCGAAATGAATGTTAATATTCCATTTGCTTTTCTAGCTGCAAACTGAACCTGCATTTCAACCTTGAGAAAATCCTGAACGTGGACTTCTAAGTCCCTTTGTGTTTCAGATTTCCAAAGACTTTCCTTGTTTTGAAAATAGTCTACACCTCTAATCTTCCTACCTAAGTGCATAACCTCACACTTTCACTCATTATAATCCATCTGCCACTTCTTTGCTCACTCTACTGATCTATCCAAGACCTTCTGCAGCCCCCCCGCTTCATCAACACTGTCTGTCCTTCCACCTATCTTTGTATCGTCTGCAAACTTAGCAAAATACCCTACTTTGTCCAGATTGTTAATGTATAATGTGAATAGTTGTGGTCCCAACTTCTTAAATAGTGGTGTTACATTAGCTATGTTCCAGTCCTCTGGGACCCTTCCTGACTCCAGTAATTCCTGAAATATCACTACTATGCATCTACAATCTCCTCAGCTATCGCCCTCAGGACCCTGGGGTGTTGTCCATCTGGTCTGAATGATGTATCTACTTTCAGACCTTTCCCTTTGTGATAGCCACTACATTTACTTCTACCTCAAACTGTAAAGTGATATGTAGGTACAGAGTTTTCATTAGTTATTGGCAATTGTGATTGTATTTTCATTTCATTGCTGGTGACTAGACATAGAAACTAGAAGCAGATGTAGGTGATTTGGCTCTTTGAGCCTGCACCACCATTCAATATGATCATGGCTGATCCTCTACATCAATGCAATATTATCACCTACTCTCCATATCATTTGATGCCTTTAATGTCTGAAAACTTATCAATATCTTTCTTGAATATTCCAACTGACCCAGCCTTCACAGCCATCTATGATAGTGAATTCCACAGGTTGACCACACTGTGAGTGAAAAAATGTTTCTTCATCTCAGTGCTAAATGGACTACTCCATATCCTGAGACTGACATTCTGGTTCTAGAAATTGTCTATTTCTACAAATAGTTAATTCAATTTATTTCATTATACTGAGCATTGTATATTTTTAGAAAGGACACATTTTATAACATTTTAATCCTAAATTATTTATTTTGAACATCCTGTTACATATTATTTTGGAAGCTTTTTAGTCATTTTATAGTAGATTAAAAATATTGAAATACAAATCTTTAAAGTTTGTATACAAATATATGTCACACAAATTCAACTTTTAGCACTGGTGTTTTTAAATACTACCTTGATCCTTTTACTCTAATTAACTTTCATGATGACAACAATAAAACCCATCTTTCACCATCAATAATAGTCAGCTTCTGTTACAATGCATATTTCCTGTAAGTCAAATTTGCTTCAGGCATCATGCTTATATATAATGAGCTTAAGCAATGCCATGGGATATTTTATTATTTTATAAAACATGTTATTCTTGTTACATCAATTGTGTTACTAGCAGTGCAGAGTGAAAATATTTCTCAGTAGGCCTTTTTTTAAACCATATACCATCTGGTCTCAATGATTTATCTACATTCAGGCCTTTCAGCTTTCCCAGCAACTTCCCCTTAGTGATAACAACTACACTCACTTCTGCCTCAAACTGTAAGGTGATATCTAGGTACAGAGTTTTCATTACTAATTGGAATCATGATTGTATTTTCATTTTATTGCTGGTGACTGGATATAGAAACTAAGTGCTGCTATGCTGGTTTTAACTCCTTGATGAAAATTCACTGCCGTATGGATTTACGCTCGTATGTAATGATATTCCTCCATGGTGGATATTTTGTAAAATGTAAATGACAAGTGTTAACCCAAAATATGCGCTTAATCCAAAAGAACCGACATTACTTTTCAGCTACAATAAAATAAAGAACGGTGGATACTGGAGATCAAAAAAAGTGCTCGAGAAACTCAGCAGGTCTAGCAACATCTATGGAGAGAAAAACAAAATTCACGTGTCTATTCCAGTGAAAGGTGGCTACGTCGCAGCTTCCGGGATGATGGTTGTACCCAGCCTCGTTGTGAAATAAAGATGGCGGATGTGGGCACGTCCTATCTCTCTGACGGAGTGCTGCGCGGAACTGCCGGAAGTCAAATCTGGGGCCTTGTTTACTACGAGGCTGGGTGGATGGGTGAGTGGATATTTCGGCTGAGAGTGAAATTTACTGCACGTCAGCTTTAGCAGTAACACCTGTCAGTTCCAAACGGGACCGGTTTGTTTACCCGATGATACCGGACTGGGTGCCGACTCTGTTGCCATGGGAGGCTCTGGGCTGACAAACTCGCCTCTTCTCGGCGAACGAGACAGGAGACAGCGGGCTTCGGCCTCACCGTCTTCCTCCTGAGGGTCGGGTGCGGGGAATGGCCCTCGCTGTGCCTAGGGCATGTATATGTGTGTAGGTGACGATGAATGGGGTGGAGGCAGATTGTGTTGGAGTACATTTCTGCTGGTGTTGATGGCCCACAGCTCCTCATGGATGCCCAGTTTTGAGTTGCTGGATCTGTTCTGTAGTTTATCCTATTTCCCACAGTGATAGTGCCACACGACATGTACAGTGGGTCAGCAATATCGGTCATTGTGATATAGGTTGTCTTGCACTCAGATTGCTGACTTTTAGATGAACTAAATGTAATATTTTCCACCCCTCGCATTGTTGTGTCTCTATGTCGAGTACAACTCGTAATTTGCATCATACATTGTGGACCTGCTGTTTTAAAGAATCAGTGCCTGGACACTTGATGCCAAGCAATCAAAGCATACTGGGTAGGAAGTGACAAAAATAGCCAGAACTGTGGTGTGACCGGCAGATCAGTATAGATGGGTCAGGTCAAGACACTGTAGTTTTACTAGACTAGGGCTGCTCTCTCATTGGAGAAAAATGATGGGTGGTGATTTAAACTGAGGGCCACTACACCTCAGGTAAGGAGAGAGGTTGAGAAGGAGTGTCCTCCATGGTAACCTCAGCAGGTGCAGGAAATGAACCTATGCTGTTGGCATCACAGTGCTTTGCAGCTGTCAGGGTACGTCCAAGCCATTGTAAGACAGGTAGTCTAGAATCATGGCAGGGCTACATGCAAGTCATTATGCAGTAGAGGCCTAAATCACAGAGCAGGGGAACAGGGTGAAGTATGGATGTAAACATTTTGAGGTATTGAGTGAAAGTATACGGACCAGTCAGAAGAGTGCTGCTGAATTGGCAACATTGTGTTAAAACTATTCCTTTCTTCTGTTCTGGAGTGTGAGAAGAGCAAAATATACCCTGGATTTATGTTGGTGTGCTTCAGTTTGTATCGCTGTAATTTGGATTTCACTGCATAAGGACCTTGTGATCCTAGTGACCAGTGACAATTGCAAATGTGGATATTGAAGTATGGTATATGTATAGCTGCTACGTATGAAGTACAACATTTCTTTAATCAATAGTCCCTGTCCCTACTTTATTTATGGGAGAAATTGCTAGGATATGAGTTGAATGGGTGAATTTAACAGTCCTTATCCCCTGTATTAACATTATTACTAGAGGAAAAAGTTCCACAACATGCCATTCAATATAAATTACACTTTTCGAGGACACCCTGCATTCTCAATGTAGAGGTGGGAATTCATTTCCCAAGAACTGTGCAATGCGTGCTGTTACTGATACTGTCATGGACAGATGTGTTTGCGGTATGCAGATTGGTGAGGATAAGGTTGGCAGCAATGTCCTTTAGGACTCGACCAATTCAATCAGTGGTGCTACTGCTGAGCTAATTTTTATGGACACAGAAATCCCCCACCCAGGGTACTGATTCATCAGCTAATGGGGCTCTGTACATGTTAGTCAGCAGATGATTTCCTTGCCTACATTTGACCTGATGCCATGAGGCTTCATGGGGATCTGGAGTCAATGTTGAGGACTCCCAGGGCAACTTCCTCCTGACTGTGTATAACTATTTTACCACCTTACCTGGGACTGCCCTGCAGGAGGGACAGGACATAACCGAGGATGGTGATGATGGTGTTTGAGACTTATAAATCTGGTAAATAAACCAAAAAACACAACTCTGAATGTACTGTATGTTGTGAAATTATACATCTTCATTTCTATCTCTCTCATTTATGGTCTAAATAAGTAACTAGTTTCCAGAATATCAAGCATCATTTCATTTTGTTAGGATTCCTTTTCATCTGCATCATTAACGGACCTTAGTTTCATACACACGTCTGAAATCCCTGGTTGGTCAGTCTGGCTGAAGGTTAAATGTTTCTTTGCTGACAGTTTCCCCAATGAATAGATGGTATTAGCCTGGCAAACTATAAGCTGTCATTTTAGTCACCATTTTATCACTACTAGATGTGGAGTTGTATAATTTGGCTCCTATCTTTTTAACACCTACTCAGTTATTCAGTCACAACAAATAGTTATTTATTTTTTAGCGTGTAGTGATCACACTGCAACTAAAGATCGGATTAACTAGATCAAAATGAAGGAGCTGATTACAAGGTTTCCTTAAGTGAAAGAAATAGGAATTTTATTACTGACTAACCCTGATGGGGAAAAAATAGCGTGACTTCAAGCATACACAAGTATAAGTAGTAAGTTTCAAAAGTAGAGATTGTCTAACACACAAAAGAAGAATAAGGGTTAACTGTTTAAAATTTGTTGGCAGTGTTAGATTTCTAACCTGAGACTACAGATGTGTAATTGTTGATGGGTATCTTGTGCAGTGATGAAGTTTATAGAAATCTTTGAATTCTTGATGAGTGGTTGTTTCCAGAATTTGCTTTTTTACTGGGGCTATTTTTGGGGTGATCAGAGAACCGAGAGCGAGAATGTCTTCAAGTTCTTGCTAAAGAATCTGTTTTCTTTCTCTTTCCTGCAGCTTTAACATAGCTTTTGAAGTAGGGTTTGTTTATAGATACTGAAGTCTGGCCCCCTGTTGCCTCTCCAAGCTGGCAATAGCAAAGGCAACCTTTCATGTCCAGTGTGCCAAATTATGGTGCACATGTGAATTAAAGCAGAGTTTAATTTCTTGATGCAGACTCGGTTGCCTGATTTTGATGTATTTAGATGATAATGGCAATTTCAGTGTAGACTATTTTTATTATACCACATAGGTCCTGGACTTGGCTCAGTCTGTAGTCAGGTTATCGTGTCAGCCATTTTAGGTCAGTATTTGTTTCTCTCTAAAACCATTTTTTAGTCCATGTAAGATCTTGGTTATAACACTGATGGAAGTTAAAGTTTTGATAGTCCGCATTTTACTATATATATATGTACAATTAAATCTCAATACAGATTAATGTGTTGCAGATATTTGCCATAGTGAGCTGAAAGGGCTTGCCTACTAAAGTTAATTTGCTCCTTCTAGTTGCTATGCAAATGGATGTAGTAGATTGAGAGGTTACTAATCTATTGGGTTTGAAGTCTGGTATTTATGGAGATGTCTGGTTGCACCGAAAATTGTCAACCGTTTTTTTTAATACTTGCTGCCTGCTCCTCTCAGTGCTGCCTTCTGCAAAATCTGGAAACTGCATGTGCACTTCAACAGGCAGGTCTTGTTTCATGCTTCCACTGGTTTGAAATTGTTTCTCTAGGCACACATTGCCAACTCCCCCACATCCCTATCTTCCCCCATTCCACTTGTTTTCAACACTTTCATCTATGTTTCCTTCTTTCTTTCTCACCTTATTTTTATATCACACTCTGGTATTTCATTTCCCTTGATTTGAAATTTTAGCATGTAACCCCCATCTAATTTTCTCATACATGCCCTTCCAGTTTGTTTCTCTGTCCAGCTTGTCCAATTACTGTAAGACATAAATGGAATTCTTTCCTCTTTTGAGCCTATTTAGTGCCTTAGGATGTCTTTATGTTAATGATAATAAATGCAAGTTATCTATATCTCTGGAACATTTCTCAACTTGTGAAAGGGAAAACAAAATAATTAGTTACAGATTGTGGATAGGCTAATTCATTTGAGTTGGAGGTGAACATCAGTGAAGCATGAGCAGAAGAGGTACTAAATTTCATGTAGAAATTTCACTTCCTTTTTCTGTCTACATTTGGGCCAGGAATCTCATTAAGGTTAACTCATTGGAGCTGCAAACACTGAGCAATGAATTACTACCTTACATAAAGATGGACACGATAACCCACCCATCAAAAAGCTAGTGTAAAACTTGCCTTATTTTGAAATCTAATTTAATCGAACTGTACCAAAAGTTTAAAATATGCTATTGGTTTGATCTCGGTTTGTTTGATTGGTCCATTCTGTGCATGGCTCCTCCCTACCTATGAAAATGGTGTGTCATTTAGTTTCGTCAGTGAGTGTCAGTGCATATTTAGTCATATGGTTCAATGATGAGTTTTTCTTCATGATCTGATCCTGGTTGCATGAGTGGTTTTGTTACCTCTAGAGTATTATTGGCCTTTCTATTGAGTATGAACTGGCCAATATAACTGTACCTGGGAAACAAGAGTAGCTAATTAGAAATGGAAAAAAATGCGTTGTTTTTGACAGGCAAGGAAACAAGCACAATAAATCAACTCTGATACTGTTAACATGTATTGTTAACTGATGGTGCAAGACAATACTGTGGAGCTGGGAATTCTTGCAGTGTTTGACAGGGAGTGAATAAAGTGGGGGTGGGGGGGTGGAAAATGAATCTGTTTATAATGTGAGGAGAAAAATAAACAGTACTATAAGATGAGGAAGGGAAGAAGAAAATGTAAAGGCTTGGATGAAACTTTTCAGATATTTATTCATGATTATGCCCTTCACTGATTTATGGCTCAGATATTTTATATTCACTTAGGAATATCTCCCTGGTATCATATTAAGATGGCTGAGATAACTCAAACCTTATGTTTTGACAGGCTATTCAGTGTCATTTGTTTCTTCGTAACAGCCTTTAAACATACATTAGAGCTTGCTGTGGATGATTAAAACATCCGAGTAGTAAAGAATGAATATGTAGAAGATAATAAAGTCAAGCAGTAGCTTTGCACTTGAGATGCATTGATTACAGTGGATGCAGTTCATATGTGTAGCTCATATTTATGAGGGAGGAAAACTGTAGCTCATTTGAGAGAATTATGAAGATTGAAAGATGAAAAATGATTTTTTTTGGGCATATTATATATACACTAAGGTTTTGGAGTAAATTTGTAGCTCGGGTTGTGGGTGGTTGGCTCTCCGAGATGGTTTGTTGTTCCACAGATGTTTCGTTACCCAGCTCGGCGAGCCAACCAACCGTGATATTATACATAAGTCGATATAATTTAGTTTACTTCAAAGCTTCTTTATTGTCATTTAATTTTGCCACATTAAGTGTTTTTGTATGTAGGAGTGAATTTCAAGCCTAAGAGCTTTTTTTTTTAAAATTCTTGTGGGATGTGGGCAGTGCTACTCAGCATTTATTGCCCATGTCTAGTTGCCCTTGAAAAGGTGGTGGTGAATTGGCTTCTTCAACTATTGCAGTCCATGTGCTGTAGGTAGACCTACAATGCTGTTAAGGAGAGAATTCCAGGATTTTGACTCTGGCAATAGTGAAGGAACGGTGATATATTTCCAACAGAGTGATGAGTGGCTTGGAGGAGAACTTACATGTTTCCATGTAAGTGCTGTCGTTGAACATCTGTTTGGAAGATGCTATCTAAGAATCTATGGCGAATTTTGGCAATGCATGTTGCTGAGAGACGACTGAAGCCATCAAAACTAGTTTAGCCAGACTAAGTCAAGCTCTGAAATGAGCAGTAGGCCATCAGGCAACCAAAATATGTAACCAGCTCCAGTTAAAACTCACCTAAGAATCAACCATGTAGAAATTCAACTACAAGAACCTGTTGAAAACTCTTCTGTTCATTTCAACTTTAAAGCTCCAACTCGATTGAAGAGAACCAACCCTGTTGGTGTGGGATGCTGGAGACTGTAAACCTTAATTTGAAGTAGTTGTAAAAGTGTTACCTTAGCTGTGTCTAATCTTGTTGTAAGTGTATGAGAATGCATTTTTTAATTTACAGTAAGTGAGAGAATAGATTGCTTTATTTTAAACTCTCAAAAATTAGCAGCTATATTATTTAGTTTGGGTACACCCTCAAAGGGTAGGAAAAGCACATCTCCTTCTATACAAAGCATAGAAGTGGATAGTAAGAGACTACATACATTTGATCCATGACAGCTGGCAGTGATACTTTGCCAGCCTACAATCAGTGGTGCCTATTCCTTTGCATAAAAATGAAAAGGAAGTGGGAATATGGGTACACTTAATTTTAATTGAAATATTTATTTTTCGTGAAATGCATTTTTTTGAAACTCCAAATTTGAGCGACTTTATCTATAATCAATGCTTTTCTTTTGACATTCACAGATTAAGATTACAAAGTCCTAAAATCAAGACACAATGGAATCTAGGAGTGTGCAGAGCAAGAATCCAGCTAATTCTGAAGAGTCGTCAGGTATGGTGGGCTTAGATGAACCTAAAAAAATGACAAGGGAAGACTGGAGGAAGAAGAAAGAATTAGAAGAGCAGAGAAAGCTTGGAAATGCACCAGCTGAAGTGGATGAAGAAGGAAAGTAGGTACCATTTCTATTTCAATATTTTCTGTTCTTGGTCAGCTGATTTCACTTCCCTCGGAGCCACACAATTGGAGATGGAAATTGATCAATAGCTGTTAGATGTTAATATTTTGGCCGCTGAATGAATTCAGATCAGGCAGGAAAACCTGGGTTGGTCAGTGTATTGCCATGGGGAATATAGCTAGAATTGGGCAGTCTCCATAGCCCCTAAGTACTGTGGCTGCAAGAGCAGACAGAGGCTAGGAAATCTTCAGTGAGTAACTTGCCTTTGAATTCAAAGTGTGCCCATCATCTATAAAGGCACAAGTCAGGATAGTGATGGAGTATTCCCCTCTGGGTGCAACTGCAGCAAAGTTAACAAGTGTGACTCTCTACAGTTAACTGTTCTATTAATTAACTTGAAATATTTCAAGTGGCAAAAGTAGGCAAATTATATATGTATTCTTAGTTTCCACTACTCCATTACACAGAACATACAAATTTAGGATTAGGAGTTCTTAACTCAGCTCTTTGAGCTTGCCTACCGTTCAATAAAATTGAGTGATCTGATTACTCCTGCTCCAATGTATCTTCCCTGCTAGCCAGTTAACATTTCTCCCTTTTTGTTTTTGCTGAAGAAATCTCTATAGTCCAGTCATACAAATAGTTTCCTGTTGAGTATTCCAAAAACACAATACTCCCTTAATGTAATGAAAAGTTAGTAAACCCTCTATTTGTCAGTTTTGAACCTTCCTTAAATTTTAAGGAATTATAAAGTTAAAAATCTCAATGGAAACAAATTTGAGCACACTCTACAGACCTTAGTTATACCTTTTCTTGTAGCTTAAAGCTGGACACCATCCAAGACAAAGCATACCACTTGATTGGCATCACATCCACCAACATTCTCTCCCTCCACCACTGATGCCTAGTAGCAGCACTACATACAATTTACAAGATGCGCTGCAGACATTAAGGTTCCTGACATAGCACCTTTCAAACCCATGTTCGCAACCATCTTGCAGGGTAAGAGCTGCAGCCAGATGGGGACATCACCACCTGCGAATTCCTATTCATGCTGCACACGGTCCTCACTTGGAAATATATTACCAATCCTTCAGTGTTGCTGTGTCAGAATCCTGGAACAGTGTCTTTGGCAGCATTGTGGGTCTACCTATGGCAAACAGACTTCAACATTTTAGAAGGCAAATCACCATCACCTTTTCAAGAGCAACTAGAGGCCAGCAATAAATGCTGGCCCAGCCAGTGACACCTATATCTGATGAATGAGTTAAACAAAATTGTTCCTGTTGTATCTCCAGGCGATCCATAGACCAACCAATTTTCAAGCTATATAAATCGGTGTTCCCTTTCTAAATGTGGTTTCTTGCATTCCAGTCCTGATGAGTGCAAGACAAAAAAATTTGACTTCATGTCTTTCATTTGTTTTCATTAATCTTAAATTAGTATTATGGAGGAGACGTCAAAACCCCCCGAGAAGCTCATCTAACCTTGTAATCTGTTAAAGGAAATGTGGAAAGTGGTATAAACCCCCTCTCACCTCCTGGTCTGTTATAAAGGAGAGGTGAAATTAAATGAACTCCTGACAGTCAGTCAGTCATTCTACAAACAACAAGTTAGAATTTATTTAACTCTAACAGTTAACAAATGAACAGAACTACTAACAAACCAAACAATTCCCCCCTTAACTATTTCCAAATAAAACAAAATTCTAATGTTATGTTGTTCTAATAGATAGAAGGCCCACTTATAAAAACACAAGTGAATAAAAAAATTAAAAAACTTAATCTCTTGAAATTACAGTCAGGATAAGTCTTCTGGAATGTTCTTTGCCTTCTCCACTGTCCTTCATTCTCGAACACCTTTCTCCATCGAATTTGTATCAAGAATATTAGCTAAGAGTGCCATAGTACATTTATTTAGATGGTGCTTACTCTGACAGCTTAGAGATTTCTGAGAGAGCCAATGACTTTTGTAGCTGAGAGCTGTCCTCTTGGCAGATGACAGTTGACTCTCACTTATTTTCAAATGTCCTCTTCCTTTATACCCTTGATGACCTATTAATTTCTTAGAATAGGATTGGTCAGAGGTTGTCAAAACAATCAGATTTACATTTAATTGGACTTTGATATCTAGGGCCTGGTCTAAATCAATTGGCTAAACTCAAAAACCTGTTGTCTTGCTAAAAGTACTGTTTTGCCTGCTAAGAGTATAGCCTTTTGATATCATGTTTCAATTTCAAGAACTCTGTACATCTGCAGACATTTTTCTTTAATCGAAGCCTAGAAAAAACACAGCATCTTTTAGAGGGACCACGCACACTTCTCTCCCACCAACCCCCAAACCCCACCACCAAGTTCTAACATCCTGCTTTCCAATCCACAAATGCTCTACCCAACTTCGTAACACTTTTCCCCCTTGAGAAAGGAAGAACCAACATGATGAAAAAAAATAGCATTTTTCCAGAGCCTTAATACCAATATTGCCAGATCCATAGGTCATTAATCTAGAGTTACACGTTTCATACTAATTCTATGTACACACATCAATAAAATATTGAACACTACCCATTTCTATCTTATATAGATATTTTCCTTTTAAAACCTGCGATAACGCATCTGCAGTAACATTTTCACAACCCCAACATGTACAGTCTGTTAAATTAAACTCTTGTAACTTAAGACTCCAATGAAATAGTCTTGTGTTCTTGTCTTTAAATCTTTCCAAAAATGACAAAGTGTTGTGATCAGTATACACAACCATCTCAGATATATTGTTTGCAATGTAAATGTTAAAATGTTGTAAGGCCAGTACCAAAAACTCAATAACACTTTCAATGGTTGAATATTTTCTCTGGTGGATATTGAGTTTCTTTGAAAAATAGACGATTGGCCTTTCCACAATCCTCTGACTGTAACAACATAGCTCCAGTATCTACGTCGTTTGTGTCGATAGTGACTTTAAAGAGTTAAGAAATTGGGTGTGGCTAAAACGGGTGTGGTTGTTAACACAGCTTTTAAGTTCTCAAATGCCTCCTGGCATTGTTCTGACTATTGGAATTTCCTGTTCTTCAACAAATCCGACAGCAGTGCCACCACGCTACTAAAGTTTAGTACAAATTGCCCGTAGAACCTGCTTAGTCCAAAAAAATCGTAGCACTTTCTTCTTAGAGGATGGTCTTGGAAACTCCTCAATGACCTTCGTCTTCACGTTCCGTGGTGTCATCCTTCCATGACCAATGTTGTGTCCTAGGAATGTCAGTTCCACCTTTGCAAATACTATCTTTGCCAAATTTATAACCAACTTTGCTTTCCGTAGTCTCTCAAAGAGCTCCGTCAAATGTGCCATGCGTTCTGTCCATGAATAGCTAAAGATCACTATGTCATCTATATCAATGGCGCAATTAGTCACTCCTGCCATAACTCGGTTCATAGGTCTTTGAAGTGTGGCTGGTGCTTTTATTCCAAAGGCATTACTTTAAATTGGTATAGCCCATTTGGGGTTGCAAAAGCAGAAACCACTTTCGCTATCTCTGACAGAGGTACTTGCCAGTAATCACAAAGTAAGTCCAACTTTATGATGTAAGTGGCTTGTCCAACTGTTTCCACACATCAGCTCAATGATGTCTTATTGGAGTATCACTTCCACTTCTATACCTGTGCTGCTTAGAGGAGATTAAGCCTGTAGGGGTGTTGTTTTATTAGAACAGCATTCCCTATGTCAACCTCATGTACTATAGTGTTAATGCTCCCCACTCTATTTCTACATATGTCCTCAGTGCCATGACAAGCCTTTCAATTCAGTTCTCTGTTCCGGAGACAAACAATTTTACTATCATATCCCATGCTTTAAGGGCTTTCATTATTTAATTTATTCTGAGGCATATCAAAATCTAAATCACCTGGATTTGATTCTTCACTGAATGGCAGTAACTAATACCTGTTTCTCTGGTTCCCTTTCCCTTTCATAGGGAGTTTTCAGCATGTTCACATGACATACCCGATAAATTTTTTTTCTTATGACTTCTTTACCAGATAATTCCCCTGATTTAACTTCTCAATCTGATAGGGACCACTAAACCTTGCTTTGAAGGGATCTCCTACCGCTGGTAACAGCAACAATACTTTATCCCCATGATCAAACATACGAATTTTGGATTTCGTATCTGCTCCTTGCTTCATTAGCTGCTGTGCCACCGTCAGATGTTGTCTAGCTAATTCACCTACTCTGTTTAATCTTTCTCACCTCAGATACATAATTCAACTGTGAGATCTCTGACTTCAGACCTATCAACTTTTCCTTAATTAGTTTTAAGGCCATCTTACTTCATGTCTGAATATCGATTCAAATGGATTAAACAGAGTTGATTCATTTGGAGCATCTCTAATAGCAAATAATATAAATGGGATACCTTTATCACAATCATTTGAATAATCCTGGCAATAAGCCCTCAGCATGGTCTTTAGGGTCTCATACCACCTTTCGAATGCTCCGTGGGATTCAGGATGGTATGCACTTGATTTAAAGTTAGATGTCTAAACTATCCATGACCACCAAATAGTTTGGCAGTAAAATTGGACCCTTGGTCTGACCGAATCTCCCTGGCTAGTCCATAATGGGTAAAGAAAACAAGCGATTCCTCCATAACTTTTTTGCTTTGACATTCCATAATGGAATTGCCTCCTGAAATCTGGTAGACCCATCCATTATGGTAATTAAATACTGGTTCCCACTTTTGGTTTCAGGGAGGGGACCTACACAATCAATCATAATCCACATAAAAGGTTCTTCAAATGTGGGAATTGGCATCAAAGGCGCTGGTTTTATTACTGGCTGTGGCTTTCCTACCATCTGACATGTACGATGGTACAGCGAAATTCAACCACATCTTTATGTAATCTAGCCAATAGAAATGCTTCTGTGTCTTGGCCAGAGTCATCCTCACTCAGATGACCTCCTACAGTAATTTGTGTGCTCCCCGCAACACTTCCAGCACAGTCTGTTGAACATCTGCCCATTTCTCCTATGCACTAACCTGCCAAGGTCTCCATTTGTGCCTTAGGATTTGAAACTTAAGGTCATAACATTCTGGAATACATTGATTCCTTTTCTGAGTAGGTCTTATGAGAAATCTTTTATTGTCTCATTTTTTGTAGTAACTCCATTAGTCTTTCAGAAATCAACACCTCTGCCTGATCCTCTACCTTCTTAGGTTCTTCATTTACCATTTCACCAACCAGGATGTCAGCTAACTGGACCTCAGCTCCTTCGTAGATAAAGGTGTAGAGCTGGATGAGCGCAGCAGACCAGGCAGCATCAGAGCAGGAAAGCTGATGCTCTGATGCTGCCTGGCCTGCTGTGTTCATCCAGCTCTACACCTTGTTATCTCCGACTCCAGAAATCGGCAGTTCCTACTATCTCTCAGCTCCTTTGCCTTTGGTTTCACTTATGACTGTGGGATCTTGTCACCGCACAGTCTGGAAAAAATTCCAGGCTATTTTTCTTTTAACGTCTCAGTTCTGTGGTTTTCTTTTGGCTTCTCCACTGCAAGGGGTGTCACTCCCACATTTGATTTGGCTAGGTCATTTCCAAGAACAAACTGTGTATTCCTGGAATAGATAGTCTTTCAATCACTCTCAGTGTCACTTCCCCAGTCTTGATTGGGCTTTCTAGCCTTACCGGACACGGGAACGCCAAATCTTTCTCCATTGATTCCACAGATTATCACTCTCTCGTAACATTTCAGAAAGAGTGCAAATACTTTCATCTCTTAATAGGAAGAGACTGATCAACCTCTGCATCTCAGTATTGTAACTTCTTTACCTGCTCCCCCTATTCTACATGAGCAAACCTTACCGACAGAGTGAATCTTTGAAGAGATCAGGCACTATTTTACTGTCTAGCCCACGACTAGGCTGTGCACTGTACTGCAGCTCCTCTACTTCTCTTGGGATTTTCTTCACTATCTCAACTAATCCCACTGGTTTAGCCTCTTTTACCACATCCTTTTTCCCAGTGCCTCTCTAACCACCGGCACTGTGACTTTGTGTGTCCTCCTCGATTACAGTGGAAACACCTGAGGCCTTTTGCCTCTTTTTCACCCTCTTGGGTTTCTTCATTCGCATGTGATAAACTGTTCAGTGTGATCTACTTATTTTCGTTTTTGTTGAAGAATCTCCCTTTTTCCCAATTTCTCTCTTTTGGAATGAAATTGCTATTAGAAGCTAGATTTCGACTTGTGCACCATGCATATTCATCCGTCATCGCTGCAGCTCTTCTCACCGTTTTAACTTTGTTTCTCAACATGAGTTCTTATCATTTCTGGAAGTGAGTTTTTGAACTCGTCCAGCAGAATAGTTGCTGGAAGATCCTCACGTGTCTTTTCTATCTTTAATGGTCTCACGCATCGAAGTTGCTATATTTAATTCTTTCAAACTTTGAGTGTCTGACCTGGTTCCTTCCTTATATTTCTGAACTGCTGTCTATATGCTTCTGGTACCAAATATATGGGCATTCAAAATACCTTGTTTTACTCCTTCATTGTCTCCTGATACCTCCCCTGACAGCACTGCAAACTCTCACTAGCTCTGCCTACCAATTTGGTCTGAGTTAACATTAGTGACGTATCCTCTGGCCAGTCCATCTGCCTAGCCAATTTCTCAAAGGAAATGAAAAAAGCTATTACATCTTTTTCATCAAAGTTTGGTACTGTCATATTTGTATATCTCCCTACTAGGCTGTTGGCTATGATGAGTCACCCTCACTTCTGTCTTGTAATTCTCCTATTTGAAGTTTTTTTTTGCTTCAAATTCCAGCTTCATCTTTTCCAACCAGAACATACTTTCTTTTTTCTTTCTCTAACTCCAATTGTCTAATTTTCAGTTTATTTTTTTTTCTAACTCCATTGCACTTTCCTGTTTCTCTGGTATAGTTAAATGCTTGATTAACTCCTTTACAACTTCAGCCTTCCTCTTATCCCTAGTTAACCCCAAATCTAGCCTGTTGGTTAAGTCTGAAAATATATCCTTCCTCTGTCTTTCTAAAGTTGACAAATTTGGGAAGCATCCTCAAACCTCTGAATCTGTTTAGCAATGTTAAGAGCCATTTTCCCCCACTTTTGATTTAACCAACCACAACACACTGAAATTAAGCAGATTTTCCACTTCTCACCCAGGTCTGTGTAAATCTGCTGGGACCTTTCATACCCCAAATCTGTTCGAGTTCATCCAAATCTGTTCAGATCCCGCGCACCAACTAGCCAGATCCCGGATCAAGCTCCCAATCTGTTACAGAGAGGAGGTTGAAACCTTCTAATAATTAAAACCAGAAACCCCAGAGAAGCTCACCTAACCTCATAATCTGTTAAAGCAAATGTGAGAAGTGGTATAACCTGCCTCTTACCTCCCAGCCTGTTATGAAGGAGAGGTGAAATAAAATGAAATGAATTCTTGACAGTCAGTCTACAATCTACAAGTAACAATTTATTTAACTAACAGCTAACAAATTAACAGAACTACCAACAAACAGAACAATTCCCCCTTAATTACTAACTATTCCCAAATAAAACAAAATTCTAATGGTTTGCTGTTCTAATAGATACAAATCTCACTTATATAAACCAAGTTATAAAGAAAATTAAAACTTAATCTCCTTGAAGTTACAGTCAGGATAAGTCTTCCAGAATATTCTTTGCCTTCTCTGCAGTCCTTCAGTCAGGAATGCCTTCCTCCATGTCCGGAATATTAGCTAAGAGTGCTTTAGTACCTTTTTTTATTTAGATGGTGCTTACTCTGAGAGCCAGTGATTCTTTATTTTAGAGCTGACAGCTGTTCTCTTGGCAAATGACAATTGACTCTCACACCAATTTTCAAATGTCCTCTTCCTTTATACCCTTGACGACCTATTAATTTCTTAGAATAGGATTGGTCAGAGGTTGTCAAAAACCATCAGATTTAAATTTAATTGGGCTTTGGTATCTAGAGCCTGGTTTAAATTAATTGGCTAAAGTCAAAAACCTGTTGTCTTGCTGAAAATGCTGCTTTGCCTGCTAACAGTAAAGACTCTTGATACAATGTTTCAATTTCAAGAACTCTCTGCATCTGCTGCTGCCTGCAGACATTTCTTTTTAATCTCCAAGCCTAAAAAAAAACAGCATCTTTGAAAGGGACCAAACACTATTTCCCGCCCCCCCACGCCCCATTATTTTACCAACATCAATTTCTAATATAAATAAGACAGTGTAGAGCTAGAAGAACACAGCAGGCCTGGCAGCATCAGAGAAGCAGGGAAGCTGACGTTTTCGGGTCGGGGCCCTTCACACTGTGTTATCTCTGACTCCAGCATCGGCAGTTCTTACTATCTCTGAATCAATTTCTAACTTCCTGCTTTCCAATCCACAAATACTGTACCCAACGTTGCAACAATTAGGATTAAGTAAATAAATTTTTCCAAGTAACGATGGGTGAAAGCAGTTTACACAATTTGTAGGATTGCAAAATCCAAAGTGCACGGTCATGGGCTGATTTATTTGTTATAAAGAATTGCAGTTGTGTCACCTATTGTCCTGTTGCATAGTTGCCTACAGGAGAGATACTTGCAGTATTTGTACTGAGTTTTCCGTGAAAGGCTATCCCATGTGCCGAATTCACTTTGGGAATAGTTACTTTGTTAAGCAGGTTTCAAACGAAAGATCAAGTTTTTCAAAAGAATACTTTAATAACACGCTGAACATTTTCATCTATGCTGTAGTGAAATCAGGATAATAAATGGTGAAGTTCTCATAATGAGAATTGATAACTCCCAACATGGTTCAAAGTTTTAATTGCAATGCCATGTTGATTGGCAAAAACTCAAGATTGAAACCAAATGTGAACTATCAAAATTTAAACTAATTTTTTGTTTTCGCTTACTACTTTGTAGAGATATCAACCCACACATTCCTCAGTATATATCATCTGTACCTTGGTACATCGATCCTTCCAAAAGACCTACACTCAAGCACCAAAGGCCACAACTTGAAAAGGAGAGAAAATTCAATTCAATTGGAGACTGGTACAAGAAAGGTGTAAAAGAGGTATGTAGAGTGTGCTTAAATTTGTTTCTATTGAGATTTTTAATTCTATAATTTCTTAAAAAGTGAATAAAGTTCAAAACCCACAAAAACATACAGGGTTTACTCATTTTTTTGTTACGTAAGGGAGTATAATGTTTTTGGAATGCTCAAAGTAATTTAATATATGACCTGACTGTAGAGTTTTCTTCAGTAAAAAGAAATCAATGGAAGAAACTTCGACCATCTGGTAAGGAAGGTAGACAGGAATGTGAAGTAATCAGATTGGTCATAATCTTATTGAACGGTCGGTGGGTTCAAAGGGCTGAGTTACCAACTCCTAATCCTAATTTGTATGTTCTGTGTATTAGAGCAGCGGGAACTAAGAGCACATGCAAATTGCCTATTTTCGCCTCTTAAAATATATCACGTTAATCAATAACACTGTTAACAGTAATCAGTTGTGAACTATTTTGCTAATTTTGTTTTGACCTAAGTTATGTTTTATGATGTCATAAGTGTGCATTCAAAATTGAAATGGACCAAAGAATGATGATGATGTATATTGTCTTACTCAGGGTCCTGCTGTCACCAAGTACAGGAGAGGTGCATGTGAAAACTGTGGAGCATTAACACATGGGAAAAAGGATTGCATGGAAGTAAGTGACTGTCACCTTCCAGGAGTTGGTTGTCTGTTTCTGTAAGTTATTTTCTGGGGCTACTCCTTCCAATACTTCTTTGCAGCAGGTACCTAAGAAGGAGAAATGACTTATTTAGGTACAGTATTTCTAGAAATAATCTGTTTAGATTTATTGCTTTCGGATATTTCAGAGTGACTGTGGGGCCAAACACTTGTGAAATGGGGAAATAGTCTGAAAATCTAACTAATAAAGGAAGATTTTTTTTTGAACCGCATCAACTGAGGTCATTTTCTTGCAAAAATTGTAATGGGTGAAATTCTAATCCATGTTAATAGATTTTACCTCAGCAGTTTTGCTGAAATATTCGTAAATTGTAATGGAGTTAAAAGGATAGAAAACTCTAGGTAGAATTCTTTTGCATTTTAAATTTTGTTAGGGCTGAATTTACCTCAAAATCAGCTAAATGTCAATTTCAAAGAGTTTCATGGAGCTTTTCCCTCCTTTGCCCTGGCAACTTTTCTTATCTAATTTTATCCTGCTCGCTTCATTAAATATGCACCATGCCTTCACAATACTACTGTTGCAGTATTGTGTGCAGGCCTGTGGCAAAATGCTTGAGGCTGCTACACTTAAATCCTACACATTCTGTCAGCCTGGTCTGAAGTAACTTTCTGGTCAATCCGATGCCCATGATCTGGGAGAACATGCAGCAATGCCACAAAGCATTAATAACTTTTCCTGCTTTGCAAGGGTAAGAGCTACCATCTTTTCACTCTGCCGTTTACATTCACTCTCTGCCTGTACATTCCTCCCATCAAAGCTCATGTGCTACCACTCTCAATATTCCATGCTCAAGGTACCCACTCAGACTTTCATGTCTGATATTGTCGCTGTCTAGTTTCTTACAAGTACTTGGGAGAAAATTGCAAACCGAATGTAAATATAAGATTAAGTAAAAATGAGATGTTAATGTGTGCAAATTGGCTCCTTGACACTCGTTTGATTCTCATCTCGCCATTAAAATCTTCAGTGGGAAATCAGACTTTTTTTTTTCCCCTCAACCTTATGAATCTCATTTTTCTGTTTGTCGCCATGTTTTCCAAACTGACTTGCCATTGCCCATGTCATTCAGCTTTCCATCATGCAAAAGATTAATCATTGTGAAGGTATGCTTTACTGTTTAAACTAACTTTGAATTTCCTGTCAGAATAGCAACATCTTGGATTCCGACCTCTGCAAAAACTTTGAGCATCTTAAGAATACGTTTATAATGATCGTAATAGTGGAGCAACCAAGCCCATCGCAATGAATCCTATATGGTTGCTGAAATGTGGAGGTCTCTGCATCCCCATGTGATCTGTCACAATATTCTCCTGAGAGTTCAAGGATTCTTTCCTCGAAGAGGATGGGAAGAAGGATGTCAGACACCTCTTCACTCATCTTTACCCTGTCTGCCCTATTGTAGACCACTTTCCCTTGAGGTGCCACAAAGGGACAGATTGAGTGAGAAGAAAGTGTTTGGCACATCTGTTAGTGCTGGTGCAGGAAAGGTGGTGAGGTGTTCCAAGTAAGTGAGGAGAAAGCACAGTTAGCAGGAAGAGTTAGTAGTCTGATGTGCGTGAGAGCCATTGAGGAAAGATGCAGATGCAGTGTTGAGAGAGGTGTACTGTAAGCCTTGGTGGCAGATGGTTGAGGTAGGGTTCGACTGTAAGGCAGCAGAGTGCAGTGGTGACATTTAATCTTGTGGAATACAAAAGGTCATTAACCTTTTTGTGACATTGCTGCATGTTCCTCCCAACTATGGATATGATACTGACTTGGGTGGCAGCCTCAGACCAGGCTGGCAGGGTCTGGTGTCATGGTCTTCTGTGGAAATCGTGGGAAATGTGGCTGGTTATCCATTCTGCAACCTAATTCACTGGGTCCCTGTTGCCAAAGTGGGGTGCCAACTTGCCTCCCTTAGCCATATTGTTTGGAATTGTACAGCAACACACTAAGGGCAGTTCCTGACTTGCAAAGTTTGAATGGTGCTTCGCTCAAAATTAAATATGGCATTGGCAGTGTGAAAGCCAACACTAACAGGGGAAATCCTCCATGAAAATTCCCAACATTGCCACAGCCAATGTATGGGTAAGTTTCATAAATATATCCATTTTTAATCCCGCTGATTCAATAACCTTTAAATACAGTGGTCTTTCTTTTACTTCTTACATAGAATGTACAAATTAAGAGCATCATAATCCATTTGATCGCTGTAGTCTGCTCTGCCATTCATCAAGGTCGTGGCTGATCTGATTATGGCCTCAACCCTAAATTCCCACCTACACTGTTAACTGTTGACTCTCTTACTTGTCAAGAATTTTATCACCCTCTCCTTTACCAATTTTAGCCCATCTGGTATCTTAGCCAAATCCTCTTTCACCATTTTCCTTGGTAAAGGCAGGTGCAAAGTTCTAATTTAGGTACCTCAGCCAATCTCGGCCCTTTTGTGTGTCAACAAGTTTGGTCTGTAATTGGTCTCTGTCCTCCTTTTATGATCCACTGTTATGAACTTGAGGGAAACCATTCATTTCTAAAAAGAAACTTGAATTCTCAGATTTTAACTGAAAGAATTATGCCGCAAGATTTCACTTTTTAGCCAAATGCTTTTACCGTGCAAAAAATAAACAATATAAGTACTACTAACCTAACATCATGTTTCATGCATCTTATTATTTAAGCCTGAAAGTTTCAACAAGACGCTCCCAGTTGTACTTTATTCCACCTAAGGGTTCCCCAATATTCTATAGAAATGTGAGTTTCTCATTCACTTCTCCTGAGTCCAAATCAGCACATGACACAGCTCTTAGAAATTCACTGTTGTCCTTGTAAGTTTCCTAGTACGAGGTGCACTTACACTTCCAGAACCTGCACCGTCTTTCTGTGAGGATTCCACTGGCTTTGTAGGTAAGTCTGACATTCAGTTCTTCGTGAGTTTGGAATTTACATTCTAAGCTTCAGTCCGCTCTCAATTCTTGCATATTGACTCTAGACCAGAAGGCCCTCGGCCCATCATGGTCTCCATGCTCCTTGTTCTGGCTGCAACAGATACAGCACTATTTTCTTAAAGACTTCCAAGCTGACTGACTGTGTTTCTTTCAGCAAATGCACAGACAAGGCTCCCTACCACATAAACATGGTACATGTGGAATGATCCAGATAGAAATATAAACTAGTTATTTCCCATGTTAAACCTTTTCCTTTGATCTGGAAAGTATATGAATTCTTTGAAATCTTCCCTGGCTGATCTTTTGCTTCCAGACTTTTCGTTGATCTGGGATCATCCGTATGAATAATCAATAACCCTTGGATGATGACTGTGAGGCATCTCATCTCTGACATGACTCAGAAATTGGTTACTAATTAGTCTGTATTTTGACATACGAGCGTAATTCTATATTTTCATACATCTAACGCTGACCTTACACATGGAAGAACCTTTTATGTAACAACTTTGGATGGTCTGGCACTTTCCAGAATTTCGATGACCTTATATTTACAAATATAATTTGTACCTTTGGGAAAATTAAATTTTGTCAACATATGGATCAAGAAATTAAGCATATATAATACCCTGTACTACTTATGTGCCTTTGGAAGACATTTGGATTCCCATTAATATTAGCGCCAGTCACTTATCTTGCTTTCTTTAAGCCTCTCTAATTTCACTTTCACTTCCACTTCTCCTCTGAACTTTGAACCTTGTGTTCATCTTTGTTTTCAATTATAACTTCAGTGTTGCATCTTGCATCCCCTTTTTCTGTATTCTCTTTGTCTCTTTTATCACTTAGGAAGTTCTAGTTTTGTTTTACTCATTTTCTCATCAGGAATGTATCTTATCTACCAATCTGTCTCTTTAAATGTAGGTCATTGTTCTGATGTGATTTTTGCCTGCTAGTCTTTGATTGGAATTTTCCAATTTATGTAGTCTAGATTTGTCCTGCCCCTTCTGTTCTCTTTCCTTCCCTCACCTCCCTGCCCCCAACATTAACCTAAATGTCTGCCATTGGCATAAAAGTAGTATAGGGTATTGCAAATATGTGATTTTCATGTAATTGGTCATCCTTCCTTCAGTTAAGTAGTTTTATACTGGATTATTCCTTGTCCCCACCTAAACCCTCTAATAAATGGTCAGAGTTTCCTAAATGGCATCCCCACTGACATTTGATTCACTTAATTCACCACATTCTGTGGAATGAGATCCCCCACCCCCTTTTGTTAAGCCATAATCATACCATATGATCAAGCAAGGAGAGGTGAAATGGCTCATCTCTTTTCCCACTTGTTTGAATTTCCAAAAGGTGTCAGTTTGGTGTCTGCTTACACATGGATGCTAAAGAATTAGCCAGACAGAATCCCTTGAGTTAAACAAGTAATTGGTTGTTTTACTGTGCTCAAACCCATCCAGGTAAAAATACTAAAATATGTCTGACTTCCTCAATTTAAGTGCAGACACACATTTGTATTCTTGCATTTTTAATTCCAGTTACGGAGTACGATGATTAAATTTAGCTGTGTTAACATTCAATAAGAAAAGAAAGGTAAGAGTCACTGGTTATATCTGGCTGTGTCATCTGGCTATTCAAAGATTCTTGGACCTCAGCTGGATGTTTAAGCTTGTGGCTGATACCTTCTACTCCTGGAAACACCAATGCAGAAAGAAATACTTTAAAAGTTCTCTGCAGGAATATGGTCACAATCAAACTGAACTGTGAGGGTGCCATCTTAGCTGGAGATGAGAGAGAGCAGCAGCTTCTTACTGACATTGGTGGTCTTCTCATAATCACATGTCCTTGGTAAAGGCGCGCACAGAACTAGTTAATCGCATTACATCAGTCTTACCTGCTATCAGAAACCAAAATATCCACTGATTATTAGCACACAGCCATGCAAGGAAATTTGAGGTCTGTTCTTTGAGCGAATCAATTCTGAATAGTTCATGTTTCCATGTTAGAATACTGTGACTATCTCCATTTTGATATGGCAGGAAAAACACTGTTTAAGCAGTTCCAATGTTTAATGTTACTGATTTGGGTCTTCATAGACCCAGTATCTCTTTCACTGTGAAATAGAATGTAGACTACATTGTAATGAAAATTGTGGCACCCATTTTTAATGTCAAAAGAGTCCTTGTGTTTCAGTTAAAATCCATTTTTTTCGGAAGCTCGATGTCTATCTACAGCCAGTGAATTTAAAATTCATATTTGACATGAACATTTTTGTTACATTGCTACTCAAAAAATACTCTTGAATGTGCATCTAAACAGTTTGGCCCTTTTATAGTACTATTCCAGTCAATCTAAAGATAATTAAAGTCTGTTGTTATCATCATTCTATAGATTTTGCAATTTCTGTAATTTCTTTTTGGGTTTGATCCTCGATATCATTCCCACTAATTAGTGGACTGTGTGAAATATACCAGTCGTTTAATGACACCTTTCTGTTTCTTAATGCTAACCAAATCAATACTGCTTTTGACCCCTCCAAAGCATCCTCTTTCTCCAACACTGTAATATTTTCTTTAATATATACTACCACCCATCCTCCTTTCTTTCCTTCCTTATTTTTTTTTCTGATCATCTTGTAATATTTAGGATCCAGCCCTAAATGTCTTTTTGAACCAAATCTCTGTTCTCACCACAACCTTGTACTTGAGGTATTTATTTACAGTTGGAAGCTCACCACACTTTGTGCATTTACATGCATTAATTGTATATAAATGCACAAAGATCCTAGTTTAGAATATATTGTCTTCCATTTAAATCTGAATCCACAGCACAGCTTACCTTACTATTCCTTTCTCCAAGTACTGTGTCGCCCAATCCATTGTGCACATGCTTCACCTTATTTTGGTACAACCTGGCTCTCATCTTTTTCCTAACTTAGTGCTATTTGGGAAGCTTTAAACTGATTTTAATAGAATTTGCAACTTTTTATTGCCTTGTGTACCAACCTAGAGTCAACCAAGCCAAACAGATTGCTCTACAAATTGGATAAGCTGCATATATTGCTGCTATTCTATATCACAGCAAGGGGGATTAGCCTAGGGGTTAATCGGAAACAAAATTCAGGCACTGCAGGATGTGCTTGGCATCAGTGTGATCACATTGATGTAGCTCAAGGTAAATTCTAGATATGTATGGGAAAAAATTTCTTTAGGACTTCTGTGTATTGCATAAGTTTTATACTGTCCTCGCTTTTCTGTTTCTTTCCTCCCAATTCCTTCAACTTGCATTGTCAACCATACACAGGAGCTTTGGACCAAATTTTAAACTTTATGGTTTAGATGCCTCCCAGCTGCATGTGTAACTGGAAACCATGTCCAAACTGACTGCTAGGCCTTGTAAAGTCTCTGAAAATCTGAAATGAAGGCTTTTCTTGAAAGAATACAGTGAAAATATAAATGTTTCACTGTAATTTGGATGTTTAATATTATAACTGTGCAGAAAACTTTGTTACAAGTTTGCAGATGCTTTCTGTAACTTCATTTTGTACAATGCTCTTACAGAGATTTCATATGTTTTTTTCTGAACAGAGACCTAGGAAAGTGGGAGCAAAGTTTACAGGTATCAACATTGCTCCAGATGAACATGTACAACCAACTTTTTCATTTGACTATGATGGAAAACGTGATCGTTGGAATGGCTATGATTCAGAGGATCACATGAGGATTGTGGAGGAATATTCAAAAGTAGATTTGGTAAGTGATAGAATGGCAAAGTGGAAGAATAAATGTCAAGAAAGATATTTCAGTGCCTTGACCCTTTTTTTAAATGAACCCTAAGGTTACAGAGCCACCATTTGGTTTGTTGTAGTGAGTTTTAATAATGGCATGTTGCATTTGGTAGTTAAGAGCTTGCTTTATTCATTCAGACCTCTTCCTGTGTTTAAACTGGGTTGCCCCATGTTCGTTTTATTTTTATTCGAAAATAAAGCTTTCAATAACAACCAACATATGACGTTTATTTGCTATTTTATCACGGTTAGTTTTGTGTATAACAAAGTGGCTCCATATGGCAGCAAAAATAATTAGAAAGATAAGAAGTACTGTACAACTTAAGAAAATTATGGGTAGTTTTGTTATTTTGAGAAGATATATTAACTTTAAGGAAATTGTGGAGGGTTGCAACTTTAATAGCACACCTTGTACTTCATATGGAAAGACAATATTGAGGTTTTTATAATGAATAATGGGAAGGAAATTATCAAAGTGACAAATGTTTATAAAACTATCTCAGAGTAGGACAGAAAGTAATACACATGCATTTATTTCTTCGCATTTAGCTTTAGCTTCATTCTCTCTCTTTTGTTGGTGTAGGCTAGGGAAAATTAATACCATCTGCCTACTAACTCATGATACCTTGTGTCTGAATTTTCAGGTAGATAGAACAATCGGGCTATCGTTTACTATTATCAAGGAGTAAATTCGACGGCAATCCACACATACATCCCTGGTTGCTGTGCATTTCCAGAGGCTTAATTGCAACAGTATTCTTTTTCTCGTTTTGTTTGAGATTCGGACGTTGCTGGCTAGGCAAGCATTTATTGCCCATCCTTGATTGTCCTTGAGAAGGTGATGATGAATTGCCTTCTCGAACTGCCGCTGGTCTTGGGAATGTAGGGCAAGAGTGGACTGTTAGGACAGGAATTACCTGGATTCGATTTGTCCCGCTTCATGTGGACCAGGATATACCTGGGTAATTTTCCACATTGGTGGGTAGATACCAATGTTTCACCTGTACTGGAATGGCTTGACTAGGGATACAGATGGTTCTGAAGCATATAGAATCAAATCGAATCCCTACAGTGTGGAAGCAGGCCTTTCGTCGCAACAAGTCCACACTGACACTCAACGCATCCCACCCAGACCCATTCCCCCTATAACCCATCTAATCTACACAACACTGAACACTATAGGCAATTTATCATGGCCAATCCACCAAGCGTGCACATCTTTGGACTGTGGAAGGAAGCTGGAGCACCCGGAGGAAACCCATGCAGACTCAGGGAGAATATGCAGACTCCACACAGACAGTCACCTGAAGGTGGAATCGAACTTGGGTTCCTGGTGCTGTAAGGCAGCAGTGCTAACCACTGAGCCACCGTGCCACCCCAATATGTTTTCAGGACTATTGCCAGAATTTTGTCAGACACTATTGGCCTTTTCTGAATCTGGTACTATCAGCTGTTTCTTTACATTATTTGGTGTGAATAGAATATGCTGAAGACTAGTATCTGTGATGTGGAACTCTGGAGGAAGCTGAGACAAATCATTCCACTTGGCACTCCTGGCTGAAGGTGATTGCAAATATTTCAGTCTTGTCTTTTACACCTGACGTGCTGGGTTCCCCCATTGTTGAGGATGGGGATATTTGTGCAGCCACCACCTCCTGTTGTTTGTTTCGTTGTCCACCATTATTTGTAATTGAATATGGCAGAGCTGCAGTGTTTTATGTCTAACCAAGTGACTTGACATTCAGACATACAAAAGGCATAAGATTGGGGAATTTGCCCACTAATACTAACTAAATGTGATGGAGAAGTTAGAGCTTTCTTATTTAAGTGAATGCTGTTATTAGGTGGTAGATCTTGGAAACTGTCAAACATTTCTTACATAGAAAATTTACTTCTTGCAGCATGTTCTCATTTCTTCATTTTTTTTAACTATTGCCAGTTTTTTGTTTATGTTCCTTTCTTCTCTTTCTTTATTTACCTCCTTTTGTTGTGCTTTCTATTCTATTTTCAATGAAATATTCTAGCTTACACTTGTTGGCTTAGACTGTGTAGGATTCTTTAGTCTGAGTTGTTAGGTCACGCTGGTACTTGTTTTGTTCACAAGTTCCCAAATCCCTGCAGGATAGGCAGCACACCATTTTGGCTCTAATAATTAACTGCATTTTCCAGTTCAAAAAACCCACTCTCTTGGGCAGGTATGACGAATGGGAAGTAGTGTTCATTTCCCATGAATGCAGAATCTAGACCCAGTTTGATTTTGTCTTTAAAATCCTAACTTTAATTGAAATGCAAAGAAATCTGAGCTTGGAGATATTGACCCTCCAAGATATTGGGTCTTAACTAAATTAGGTGATTTCCCCAGGGGGAAAATCACAGCTCTTGGAACGTAAACCAATTGAAGTGAGCTGTTCCTAAAGCTGGAAAACTGTTTCTGTCCTGCAGATGGAGCCAAAAGCTCTTTCAATGGCTTGCATTCAAGCACTTGAACCATTCTTGTACTGTGACTGGAATGCCTCTCAGCTTTCTAAAAAAAAAATCAGTGTTTTTTGTGGTTTTTGTTTCTTGGCTTTTTTTTCAAAGAATTTATCAAAGTACTAAACGTGTGTTTTGTAGAGCATTATGTCACACTAATAGCAGTGAAAATTGACAGATTGCCTCACGAAAAGCTGTGACTTTCCTCGTGGACCAATCACTTTATTGAAGTTGAGACCTAATGGCCCAAATCTTCCAAACAGCCTCAAATTTACACCTGGTTATCTACGTCTGATGCACCCTATCCACAGGTCCCTACCACTCTGTTTGAACTGTTGGTCTGAAAGGACTGTTGTACCCATTCAATAAGGCTGGGATAGGCCGTTCCTCAGTCTGTGAGGGTTGGCTGATATTTCAGGATCAGCACATGTTGATTTGGGCTTCCCGTCTTATCTACTGCTGTTTTTGATCTTTAACTCATCCCACTGAGGTAATCTTCTGGTTAAGTCTGATGCTTGCCATGAGCTGCAAGGAGTTGGAGATGCTGTGCAGCTTGGCTGTCAGTTAAAGGTACTCTCTGGAGATGCTGTTGAAGATACAAAATGCCGAGAGAGCTGGGGCTGCAGCTTGCCTCTTTTATCCCTCTCTGTGTCTCTCTCTCTCTGCCCTTCTCAAAGATTCTGTGGCCTGTGTCCAATAATAGCATCAGGCAGGAGTACGAAAGTCAATGAGGTGACTATTTTCTATATTTCGAGGTTGCAGAATGTGGTTTTGAACTTTCAACTGTCGAATACCGTCATTGTCACGCTATGTCTCTAGCCTCTGACTGAGCTGAATGCTATCAAGACTGTGTAGCACGCTTCTAACAAAGCAGGTTCACTGAAGGTGTAAACAATGGTTTGTTCTAAAACAGCCTGGCTGTTAGCAGCTAGCCAGGCAGTTCCAGGCCTGTCTGGGCATTTTGACTGGGCATCCAAGGCCTGGCTGCATGAATGCTGCCAGTTCAAGCTCTGCAGTTTGCAAATTGCAGAGTGCAGATAGGTTTAAACTTGGCTTCCACGTTTTGAATTTGTTTATAATCCATGCTTACGAAAGAAAATCAATATTTCTGTAACATTCCTGGAGGTAATGGGTCATCCTGGGAATAGCCAGGAGGCCAGGCAGTGACTGTGGGAGGAAAAGGGCAGTCAGGCATTGGTGGAGGGTGAAGATAAATAGTTAAAAGTTTAAACTTTCTGGGTAGTTCCTGAATGGCTCTCATGACAGGACTTCTGCAGGGTCCCAAAAAGCACCATTGTCCAGGTCTCTGACTTTTCCAAACTGGAAAATTTGAGCCAATGTCTTAAAAGGTCACCAATAATACCTAAGCTTTTTTTTCTTTAGAAACTGAATAATTAAAGGTAAGCAGCAGACCAAATTTAACCAGAGGTTTTGCCAAAACATTGCAGGAGGAATTAATGAAAATTGATATTATTTTAGAATAGATAACTAAATCTGTGTGGTTTAATGGAATTTGGTACATTATGCATATTTAGGGCAAATCTATCACCAGGGCTCAACACTCATTTATCTAATCAATTACTAAAATGCTTGTAGATCTCTAAGATGTAAATGACTGTGTATGATAAGTTTAGACTTGAGAGCATTCTTGTACACATAACTAAAACTTTATGGAAATTTGTGTTCATTTCAGAAAAAAAAACATTTTCTTTTTGTAAAATCACAAAGTCATTGCAGGTGTGTAATAATCAAAATAAATATCACTGGGTCCTTACCTAGAAAAGTCAGTTCTGAATTTTCTGCAAAATGTAATAGACTTAAATTAAAGTGCTCTGTTACTTTTGATTTAAAAGTGCTATTTCCCTTTTAGGCCAAGAGAACCCTGAAAGCTCAGAAACTGCAGGAAGAGCTAGCATCTGGGAAGTTAGTGGACTATGTGGTGAGTATATATTAAACAGGATATTGCACCATATCTACATCAACAAAGTTGAGTGTGTGCTGGCTTTAGGTAGGCACATTGAAACTGTTGGAATTCCATAAGGTTCATTGGGGTTAGTCCTCAGCTGTTTACAATTTGTACCAATTGACATGATGCAGGGGCCAAATGTATAGTAGCTAAATTGTTTGATAACATCGAGATCTGTAGGAAAGCAAGTTGCCTAGTGCAGTTACAGAGGCTACAAAGCAATGTAATTTAGTTGAGTGAATGTCAAAAATTTGGCAGATTGATTCTCTTGTGAGAAATTCAGAACCTGTCCACTTTGACAGGAAGAATAGAAAATCAGTGTACTATTCAAATAGCAAGCAGTTACAGAACTCCACAGTACAGAAGAATCTGGACATACTGGTGCAATGCTCTCAAAATTTAGCAAGTTATCATGAAGACAGATTAAATGCTGGTGTTTATCGCATGGATAACAATGTAAATGTAGGGAAGCTGTGCAGGGTCCTAGTGAGACCAGTTGTGGAGCACTGTGTATGATTTTGATTATCTTATTTGAAAAATGATATAATTGCATTAGAAGTACTTCAGAGAAGTTTCACTCACTCCTAGGGTGAGAGAGTTTTCCTATGTGGAAAAGTTGGACAGGCTGGTCCTGCATTTATTAAGAGTTTTTAGAAGAATGAGAGATGATCTTATTGGAAGCATTTAAACTTTGAGGGGAATTGACTGTGGATACTGAGAGAATGTTTCGCCTTGTTGAGTAGATTAGAACTAGGTGTCACAGTTTAAGAATGAGAGTTATCACTTTTTTAATTTGGAGGTAAGAATTTTTTTCTTTGACGGATGTTTGTATGTGGAATTATCTGCCCCAAGAAGTGATGGAGACTATGTCATTGAATTATTCAAGGCAGAGTTGGCTATCCAGAGTTGATCCCCAGACTGCCTCGTCTTTGTCTAGCGGACAGGCAAGTGGGTTTGAGACTAAATCAAAATCAGCAATGAGTTTATTGAATGGCAGAGCTCAAAGGGCCACATGGCCTATTCCTGCTTCTAAAGCCTCTATTCCTAAAAGATTGCACTGAATCTTGCAGACATATTCTTTTTCAAAAATCTGTGATAGCTTTTATTTCTCTGCTGTACACTTTGCAGTGAACTAGGGTATTTATCTATAATATATTCTAACCAAAGACTGCATTATCCAGATTTGGAAAGCATTTATAATTGAATTGAATTGCATCTCGCTGTAGCTTCAGCTTATGTGAGAAATCTGACCAATATTGTTCACGTAGGGTCCTGAAGTATTTTGAGAGGACAGTGCTATGAGGAACATTGAGTGCCTTTAGTGAATATATGCTCCGGAACAGATTTGAACAGCTTTCTGCAAATGTTTCACGAGTGACCTGAGAAAAGTTGATGCACCAGCAAAAGAAAGAGAGCCTTGTAGCACCTTCTTTTCTTCTCATGCCATTAACGTGGTCCAGGGGTGACCCTAGGCCTCAGCTTCATCTGTTGACAAGACCTACAATGACAAAAGGAGAGGGAAAGTTGAAGACAGGTGCAGGTCCATGAGGCAAGTTTTTAAGCCTTGTGGCCTGTTCTGGATAGTTGCATTCGGATGGCCCCAGCTGGTCCGTTTTCAAAAATGCATTAGTGCTGTGTGCTCTTAGTCCTGCTTGTTTATGGGTGTTCTGTTGCAAGCTGGTTATAGTCTGCAATACATCTAGAATTAGTACCTTTACCCTTCAAAAGCACCGGTCTTGCTTCAACCTTCAAGCCAAAAATCCTGAAGCAACACTGAGTAGAAACTTGTTAAAATAACTCTGCCCCATTTTCCTGACTGGCACCTAAAGAATGGAAAATCCTGGATCCAACAAGTTAAGGTATTTTAAGCAGGCTTTTCTGAGGAACACCACTTTTTTTTAAAACTGAAATCACAATGGAGATGCATCAATATCCTTGGTGTTGCTTTTTGTAGTGACCAAGTGAAAGCATAAAGGAGCCACATTGTAAGCTCGTAATGATTATCTTGGTTGAGTTAATGTTGTTAATGCATTCATCATTGTTGAGCAAGTGACAATTTGCAGAGTCACATCTAACAGATGTTTTGTGCTTTTCAAGTGCACGCTGTTTGAGTACAGTCTATACTCTGTGATAAACATTCTGAGGAACGTGCTTTTTGATTCAATCAGCCAATCATTAAAACATACGGTCTATACACACGATATCACACGAGCACTAAAATTCATGTGTAAAATTGCTTCATTTTCTGGTAGGCCAAGCATCTTGTTGGATTGATGGCAGAGTCCCATTTGTGGAAAACAGTACTTGCATTACCACTGCATTGTAGCAGCTTAAATGGGTTGCTTAATCTGTTGTTCACTTTGTTTTGAGATACTTTGACTCTTCAGGATATTTTGTAGTAGACTGGGTACTTCCAAATTTGAAAACTGCAACTTCTGGTCCATTGTTTCAGAGATAGTAAGAGCTGCAGACGCTGGAGAATCTGAGATAACAAGGTGCAGAGCTGGATGAACACAGCAGGCCAAGTAGCATCAGAGGAGCGGGAAAGCTGTCGTTTCTGAAGAAGGGCCTACGCCCGAAACATCAGCTTTCCTGCTTCTCCGATGCTGCTTCGTCTGCTGTGTTCATCCAGCTCTGCACGTTGTTATCTCTTTACTTCTGGTCCATTTGTAAGTTTGCACGATACACAGCACTCCATGATCTGATCAGGATAGCAAGGTAACTTCTTTCTGCCCTATTTCTACGTAGAGCTTGCATGCTAAGCAAATGGCTAGGGCTATATTCCTAAAATGGAGCTATACGAATGTAGCACGTGGAGCTATATTGACCACCATGTATATTGACCGGTGGAAACAAGCTTGCAGTATTTAGTAGTGGAGAAGCCACAGCGGATTTCTCGACCACCACATCATGGTAAGGGAGAATATTAGACTGTTCCACCTTAAATGTGGATTGGAGTGTGGGATGGATTATGTTTAAGGTAATTCTTATGGGGCTGCAGATTCAAATCTAGCAAATGTACCATCTGCTTACCAGAAATATGCTATGAGTAAGAGGTTAGAGCTCATTCCATCACAAACACACTTCTCATTGAAACTGACAAAAATATTTGTACCAGACCAGAGAGTTCCATGGCTACACCATTAATTTGGGCATGCCTCATGCTTTATAATTGGGCAGTACTTGTTGTGCTATTAGCTACACTAATAACCAGTTTATGATAACCAGTCAAGCTTGTATGTGGCTTAGTTACACTGGTTATTAGTGACATATGTTGATACTCTGGGAGCTATTCTCTGCAATAAAAGGGGCATTCAAGTCCTGTACCTTTTTTTTAATTACCCACAAGCATGGAGAGCTTGTATTTCCCATTTAATTTCCGGGCAATGCCTCAGGTAATCTGGTTTCCAAATTGCTTCAATCAGCAGCATCCCTTTTTTCTTGTGGTGCAAATTATTTTCAAATTTTATTTTCTTGCATTTGTCCTAATGAACACAAGATAAGAAACTTCAGCAACATGTCATTCTTTTCCCCAACTGGTACAATGTAGTCAGTGTAGGAAACCTAAAAGCCAGGACTCTGTGCAAAAACATTTTAAATTTAGAGAAACAAGGACATGATTAAGTTTATTGCTGAGCATTTGGAGAATAGAAAATTTTGCTTTCTTATTCGGCAAATATTGGCAGTTGGCTTTAATTTAAAAAATAACAGTGCCAACCAACAGCTCATTGCAGCCTGCATTACATAAAATGCCACTATATTCTGTTCCAAACTAATGACCCCAGTGCAGTAAAATCCAATTACTTTTCCTCTCTCGATTAAAAAAGTCATCATGTATCTTTTAGTCCCAAGTTAAAGTGATTATAAAAAATCAAAATAAATATTGCTTATTTCTGACTGCATTATGCTTCAAAATTTGAATTAACTATTCAGGTTATTCAAATATTCTAACTTTCTGCAAGGTATCCATTTGCTCTATGTAATTGGGAATTTTTGACACCATAGAGTGGTAGTCATACAACACGGAAACAGATTCTCTGGTCCAACTTGTCCATGCCGACCATGTGTCTTAGTCTCATTTGTCTGCATTTGGCCTATTTCCTTCTAAACCCTTCCTATTCGTATACCCATCCAGATGCTCAATGTTCTGACCAATGAACCCTCAAGGTACTCAAACCCCATAGTCCCAGCAATATCCTTGTAAATGTTTTCTGTACCCCTTCTAGTTTAACATCCTTCCTATAACAAGGTGACCAGATTGTACACAGTATCCTAAAAGTGGTCTCACTAACGTCTTGTACAACCACGACATGACTTCCCAACTCCTATACTCATTGCTCTGACCAATGAAGGCAAGCCTGCCAAACACTACTTTAACCTTCCTGTCTACCTTTGACGCCACTTTCAACAAACTATGAACCTTCATCCTAGGTCCCTCTTCAATTACACTCTCTAGGCTCTTCCATTAACTGTGTAAGTCCTACCCTGGTTTGCCTTACGAAAATGCAACACTCGCATTTATCAAAATTAAAGTCCACCTGTCATTTCTCAGCCCATTTGGCCCATTTGATCAAGATCTTGTTGTACTCTTGAATAACCTTTATCACCATCCACAATTTTACTGTCTTCCGCAAACTTACTAACCAGACTTCATTTATTTTCATCCAAATCATTGATATAAATGACGAACAACAGTGGACCCATAACCGATTTCTTGTGGCACATCACTGGTCACAGGCCTCCTGATAACAACCCTGTACCACCACCCTCTGTCTTCTACCATTAAGCCAATTTTGTATCCAGTTGATTTGATTGTCTCTCCCTGGATCCCATTTGATCTAACCTTACAAACTAGTCCACCATATGGAACCTTGTCGAAGGCCTTGCTAAAATCCATATGGACAACATCTACCGCCCTGCCTTCATCCATCTTCTTGGTAACCTCTTCAAAAAACTCAATCAAATTTGTGAGACATGATTTCCCACACACAAGTCGTGCTGACTAACCCTAAACAGTCCTTGTCTTTCCAAATGCATGTGTATCCTATCTTTCAGAGTCCCCTCCAACAACTTCTCCACTACTGATGTCAGACTGTCCAGTCTATAGTTCCCTGTCTTCTTGTTGCAACCTTTCTTAAACAATAGCACAACATTATGTACCCTCCAGTCTTCAGGCACCTCACCCGTGGCTGTGTTGGTACAAATATCTGTGCAAGGGGCCCCTCAATCTCTTCCCTAGCATCTCACAATGTCCTGGGATACGCTTGATCAGGTCCTGGGGATTTACCTACCTTTTATGCATTTTAAGACCTCCCACACCACCTCTTCTGTAATGTGAAGCCTTTCCAAGACATCAGTGTTTATTTCCCTGAGTTTCCTAGCTTCCATATCTTTCTCCACAGTAAATACTGAAGCAAAACGTTTGTCAGTATCTCACCCATCTCCTATGGTTCCACACATAACAGCCTTGTTGATCCTTAAGGGACCCTATTCTTTCCCTAATTATTATTTTGCCCTTGATGTACTTGGAGAATCTCTTTGGAAAATAAGGTTAAGAAGAATCCTAAGCTATCCCATGTCCCCTTTTGCCCTTCTGATTTTTCTCAATGCTCTAATCAATGAAGGCAATGCACCATTCTGATGTCACACTCGCGGCCACAGAAATTCCTGTCTGTGCCCCCGACTAGAGAGTCTCCAGTCGCAATCGATCGCTTGGATCTTGACATACCTCTCACATCAGCAGAGTCAGCCATGATGCCAAAGACCTGGCTGTCACCTCTATTTTCGTGAGGCCATACCCCGACAGCAGTATCCAAAACTGTATCCTTATTTGAGCAGGAAATAGCCATATGAGACTCTTGCACTACCTGCCTACCCCTCTTGACAGTCACCTATCTACCTGACTGTATCCACCATGACCTTGAATTGAACGTAATACTTAATGATTACCTCTCCAGGCGTTGAGTATTTCCTTAGCTTCATTCAAAATTTGAATAGCTCTAAATAGAAACAGTTCTTCCTTTTGAAGGTGATTACTAGCCCATGTTCGTTGAGAAATAAAGAGCATGCATGTTGTATGAGGTGAGAATAGAATTTTGCTATTTATAAGATTCCTCTTCCAGACAGTTTCATAATTCAAACGATCATTGGACTATTTTTATATATTGGCTTAAGCTTTGAAGATCAGTAAATGAGTAAATTTTATTCTCTCCCTCAGTCTTCTATGATTGTGTTATTGAGCTTCTGCAGGATGTAATTTTTTAGATCCTTTTGTAGTACATACTCTCGTGTAGCTCGAAAATGTAAGCATATGTGTTTTTTCGGCACTTATGATGCTTTTAAATATTTGGTGGGTGCTTGTAATTTGAATATGGAGATAATTTAGATGGGATGAAATATAGCAAAAGATCTAAAACAATATACTGTCTTTTTTAATGTTGTTCATTTAGTTGATTCTAATACATTTCTCTATGAAAAGCTGAAATAGACAATCAACCTAGTCAAAACTCAGCCTTGTTTATGCGGAGGTACTGAAAAATCTTCAAATTTCTAACAATATTAGACGTACATATCAAATGAAACCCCCAAGGAGCAAATCTTTGTACGCACTAGTTGAGGTATAATAATTGACAGTAACTGCCAGGTAACTGCGGACAGCATTAAAAGTATTAAATGTTAGGCCATGTTTCAACATGAAATGCAATGGAGTTAGTCTTAGACTCCCAGAATAAATAAAGTAATGCTGCTACAGAATGGATATAAATCTATTATTGCTATTCTACTTGCGTAACTGTGCTTAGTCGTGCGGAGTCAATCTATCTATTTTATCTATCATTTATTATTGCAGAACTCTTCAAGACGTCAGCGGGGAGAAGAGGATCATGATTCAGCAGTACGTGTATTAATTCAATGTAACATTTTCCATGCTGCCGAATGTTTCTAGTTCCAATTAGAGCAAGTGTATTCTGCATACAGTTAATGTTGCATGTAATTTCTAGTCGTCTCCTCCTCCCCCCCCCCCCCCCCCAACCCAGTCAATGAGTTCTGATGTTTTTCCATCCGACAGCACTCCATTCTGTTTCCAGCTGAGTTGGACCAACAATTTTGTGTAACGTCCCTAGCTTATGTTGCATGATTGTGCATTTACTCGGATCCATCAGGGAAGCACATTACATACATTGTAAAATTTTATATTAAAAGTGAAGCTTAACAATTTTGATATTCAGTTGCTGAATGAATTAATACTCATCGTAGAATCCCTACAGTGTGGAAACAGGCCCTTCGGCCCAACAAGTCCACACCGACCTTTGGAGCATCCCACCCAGACCCATCCCCCTTTTATCCACACACCCCTGAACACTATGGGCAATTTAGCACGGCCAATCCACCTAGCCTGCACATCTTTGGACTGTGGGAGGAAACCGGAGCACCCGGAGGAAACCCACGCAGACACAGGGAGAATGTGCAAACTCTGCACAGACAGTCGCCCGAGGCTGGAATCGAACCTGGATCCCTGGTGCTGTGAGGCTGCAGTGCTAACCACTGAGCCGCCGTGCTGCCCCAACAAGTCCACACTGACCCTCAGAGCATTCCACCCAAACCCATCCCCCTATAACCCACCTAACCTACACATCCCTGAACACTACAGGCAATTTAACATGGCTAATCCACCTAGTCTGCACATCTTTGGACTGTGGGAGGAAACGGAGTACCTGGACGAAACCCACGAAGACACGGGGAGAATGTGCAAACTCTGCACGCAGTGAATCGAACCCGGGTTCCTGGTGCTGTGCGGCAGCAGTGTTAACCACTGAGCCACAGTGCTGCTATCATGTCGAAGGACAGATGTATTCTCTATATTATCTATGATACTAATTAACAGATAACGGGGATATTCTGATCATAAATACAGCTTTTGGTATAAATAGAATATGTACTTTTTCTCATTGATTTATCATGACTTTGAGCTTTGTAATTGTCATTGTTTCAGGAGAAAGACAACAGTGAAGATGAAGATGAAGATAAGTATGCAGATGACATTGATATGCCTGGACAGAACTTTGACTCCAAGAGAAGAATTACAGTTAGAAATCTTCGTATTCGTGAAGACATTGCAAAAGTATGGGAAGAGTACTTATAATTAGGTTTAATCACAATACCTTCTGACTTTTATGTTGTTCAGTAATATTTACTGTTGGTGACAGTACTTTGGGTAGAATACCTGCAACATGTTAATGGCTTCAGGCTGCAGACGTAGATATTTTCAGAGCTTAAAAGATGAGTTTGATGTCTGTGGCAGGTGTTAATTTACTTGCGTGTACATATTTTGAACCCTTCTAAGTATGGTTTTTGTTTTGGGGTCGTCTTCTTCCCACATTTGATTGTTGGCCAGTAGAATGCACTTGCAATGTTGCCCTGGCTCCAGCAAATGGTGTTTTTCAGCTTGTCTTGGGAAATGCTTGCAGACTGCCTGGGATAACTTAAATCCGATAATATTCAGTAGTATTTAAAGCAAAATCTCAAATGTCATGTAAAAATGTCTTAAAACCATTGTTTCGAATTAGATTATCCCTCTGAGAATTGCATTTGCATTCTGCACCAGAGCAAACAATTAGCAATATTATAATTTACTTGCAGAACAAAATAAATGTTGTTCAAGGTTTATTTCTTTTATTCTTTACACTTTTTTATCCATTAAAAAAAAGTATTACATAAAAAATTTTGTAATTTGAAAACTAGCTGACTTATTATGGGATGTACTTCTACAGATGTTGACATTTTCTGGTAATCACCACAAAGTGGTTATTCTTTAATTATGTGCCTCTGCAGGAATAGTTTGAAACTATTTGATTAAAAGATCTTCCACATTCAGTTGTAACAGGAAATGGGAATACGTTACACTAACTTTTATTTTTTATTCACTTGATTTATCTTCTTCAAACTTAAGAAAATATGTCTAATGTGATTCCACTGCTACCCAAGGCAAAATCAATTACTTCAGCATAATCATGCAGCAGACTGCCAAGAATCTGGCAGTTCATGAAGGTTGTGATCAGTGGTTGGATATTTGTTATTTTATTGTGAGTTGTGACATGTCAGCAGCTTCCTAAATTTGCTATAGAAAGAATTAGATGTTTTTAAAATATCAATACCAAATCACTGTTGCTATTTTAAAGATCCGTATGCCACAGAGAGAAGTAATTAGCTCAACAAAATAAAACGTAACAAGAATCTCCTAGATTAACTCTGAATTTGATTTTAATTGTTCACTTCAATTGTACAGAAGTTTTAAATACAAAATAAATTAAGGCAGTATCTGTTTGTACTTTTTTAACGCAGTTTTTGTTTTTCCCCTTTTCTAAGTACCTGAGGAACTTGGATCCAAATTCAGCATATTATGATCCAAAAACGAGAGCGATGAGAGAGAATCCCTATTCCAACACTGGCAGAAACCCAGATGAGTATGTGATTATAAGTGCTTAGTCTGCTCAATAATGGTCGCAGCAGCACAAATATCTAACTACAATTGTCTATTAAAGGACTTTATCAAATAAATGATATCCGGATTGCATTTGCCTCATTTAAATGAAAAGAGACAATGTATTGTATTTAGTTAACTAACTCTCCGGATCTTAATGAGTACTTGGCTGAATTTAAGACAAAATGGTATTAGAAATTATTCAATGCCAATAAATAGAGGAAGCTCAAAATTACTTAAATTGCAATTTTGCACTCCAGTTTTGATAAATGCTGTAATTTAAAGTTCATGTGAACAGTATTTGTTTTTCTATCTTCTACTGTATACTTCTATCTTTTTGTAAAGAAGTTGAATGCATTCTTTGTAAGAAAGGCTAGTCTGATCTTATTTTGTTTGGAGTATTTGAGTAGCATTTATTACGAATACTCATTCAGTATACATGTTTAGCCCAGTTCATTGGGCAGTTAAAAGTCAAACACGTGGGTAGTGGTCTGAAGCAATCTTTGGATTATAAAGGCAGGAATGGCAGATTTCTTTCCCTGGAGAACCAGATGAGTTTTTACATCAAGGAGATATTTTATGGTCACCATAAGTGACTGTTTTTTATTCCAGGTTTGTTTAGTTCATTGCATTTATTTTGTTTAACTGGCATAATTGGATTTGAACTAGTTCTGCTGGATAATTGATCTAAGTATGTGGTTGCTAGTCCAAAACATATCACAATGCTCCTGCTATCTCGAACAGATTCCTTCATTGCAGCCACTGCACTGCAACCTAACTGTACAAAAGTGCTGTGAGCAATAAACACAGCCCATTTCCTTAAGATGAATCTATGTACAAAATATTATTATTTTGTAATATGCTTTTGTTGACTATGCTTCTGGAATTTGTGGCTTGGAAGTAGATGGTATTGAGCCTTTGCTACATTCACTTTATAATCCCTCTGTATGTAGCACATCCAAATTTCAGGCTTGCAGCATACAGATACCTAACACAAAGTGCACTGTATTAAATGATTCAAGCTATAATGCTTCGTACACGAACACCAAATGGTTTATTTTCTGGCCATCAGCAACTTTCATTTGTAATGAGTTTTACTTAGAATTCTAAGATACCCTACAAAAGGGGGAATCAGACAAAGATGACCTGTGAGCCACAGGTGGAGATTTAGAAGAGTGACTCAAAGCTTGGCTGAAAAAGTATTTTGAGGGAGAATCTTCAGTGAACCTGAAATTTGGATGTGCTACATACAGAAGGATTATTAAGTGGATGTAGCAAAGGCTCTATTACCATCTACTTCCAAGCCACAAATTCCAGAAGCATTGTCAACAAAAGTGAGTAGAGAGGAGCATTGTATAGCTTGAGAAGGCTTCAATTGCTGAAGGATGAGGTTGTGAAGGGACTTGGATGTATGTTATGAATTTTAACGAAGTAATGTCAGGTTACAGAACTGATGTAGATCAGTTTTTTTCATCTAAGTTGTATTAAGCTGATGTGTTTAGAAGGCAGGAGAGAGATGGAATCATTGAGTTTGGAAGTGACGGATGCATGGGTGTCTCCTCAATAGAAGATGGATAGAGGCAAAGATGTAGATGAGTGATTCTAAGGAGGTGGATGTGATCAGTTTTGATAAGAGATGGCAGAAACATAATGGTGTGTCCGTGCAGCATGCACGTTGAACTAAGAATTGTGTTTTCAAATGTCAAAGGACACAAGTGAATGAAAGTGATGAGTCAAGGATGGATGTATGTGCAGGCATATTTAATTGTAAACATTGAAACTTGAAGAGGGTGCGTAGAGATGTTAAATGTTATTGCTCAACATCTATAAGCTGAAAAGATGCTGATAGATTTGCGAATAAAATTTTGCATTTGTTTTTTCCATCTTATCATTTGTTTTACTTGCTCAAAAATCTTCACCAAAAAGAGCATATCCTGAACAGCTAGGGAGTCTAGTGTTGAACATGGATTTTGTTTTAAAGTTAATTGGGTAATTAATGCTTAATGTATCTCCATTAAAATAGCAACTATACTTCAAAATTTTAATTGGCTATGAGGGATACTGAGATGTTCTGATATTGTAAAATGTGCCCGATGAATGGAAGGTATTTTCTCCCCTAGAGGTGCCATATTGCTAGAATCTTACCTTCTGTTGTATCTTTTTATTCTAGAGTTGGCTACGCAGGAGATAACTTTGTGCGATACACAGGTGACACCGTTAAAATGGCACAGACACAATGTAAGTTCTCTAACATCTGAACTTGAGAGATTTCAAGGCTTTATCTCTTTTCTATGTTTACAACTGTGACACAGTTTCATGAACATTTTTTCCCAATAGTGTTTGCCTGGGAGGCTTATGAGAAAGGTTCAGAGGTTCATCTCCAAGCTGATCCTACGAAACTTGAAGTCCTTCACCAGTCGTTCAAGGTTAAGAAAGAAGAGTTTGAGAAACAACAGAAAGGAAGCATATTAGAGAAGGTACAACACACAGTAACTTTCAGATTGTATAGTGTCATAAAAGTTGCATCTTTTAAAGGTTACAAAATAGACTTAGCACCTCATTCATTACATCTGAAAAACCTTAAGTCCGTTGTTTTGAAAAGTCATCAGGTTCCTAATCAACATGGAAATTTTGGTTTGAGTCTCCCTGCCTACATTATCAGAACATGCACCAGCAGAAAATATCCCACACTGTAGTCATAACTGTAAGGGCAATAATTTCAAACAAGCCTAAAGTGCTCATTTCCTAACCTGATGTTGTGTGACTGGCAGAGTTGCTGCATTAAAAGAAAAAATGAAGTGATGAATATATTATCAGATACCTTCTGAGACTTCAAGTTGTTTGTTGCTTTTTCTGTTGGGAAACTCCATTTCTGTGCCAAATGGAAATATAGACTCATGAAAATCCAGGTTGACTGAGGGAAACATGTCCCATACACTGTTCCTGCAGCTAGGGTAAACTTAAGACTTGTGTGAGAAAAGGCACTGGATTACTCTATGCTGAAAAAAGTATGATAGGAAGGGAGAAACAAGAATATTAACAATGCCGTAATTCTTTTTGTGTCCAGATTGTTATAGTGATTGATTGCAATACTTTGAAGACAGCTAATTTTTATATCAGTGTACAAAGATTAGCTCTTGTAATTGAAATCTGACAAGATAAATTGTTTTGCTTAATATGTAATGCATGATCTATGTAAGTAGAGATCCATTATTTAAAAGATTCTCATTCCTTATTCAAACATTGCATCTATGCTATCGAGACCAAATTTGAATGGATACCATATTGCAGTGAATGATTACGTTTCTCATTACAGTCTTACCATAATACTTCAGGCCCAACGGATAAGGGCAGTTATGAGAAGTGGATGTTGGGTGGGAGGGAGGGAGGGATGGATGGAGGTGTGGGGAGAAGAGTGTCAATGAATGCTTCTCTAAGGGCATTGTACTTAATTGCACACAGTATATGAAACAAGGTAAATGAGCTTGTAGCGTAGACTGAATTTGACAGGTATGATGTGTATCGGGGCTGGGAATTAACTATCCAAGGGTACATATCCTATTGAAAGGACTGGAAGATAGGCAAGGGAGAAGGTTTACCTTGTTAGTAAGAAATTACATTATATCACTTCTTGCTATTGATTTAGAGATGGAAGGCATAGAATCTGTGGGGTAGAGTTGAGAAATTGCAAAGGTAAGAAGACTCTGATGGGAGATGTTCTGATGAAGGATCACCGGACCTGAAACGTTAACTCTGTTTTTTCCTTCACAGATGCTGCCAGACCTGCTGAGCTTTTCCAGCAACTTTGTTTTTGTTCGACTCTGATGAGAGTTGTTCATAGACCTCCTAGCAGTAGTCAGGATTGGGGAAGAAAATAAATTGGGAGAGAGGAAAGGCACTGTTACAACAATCATGGGGGACTTCATGGTAGACTGGGAATATCGGGTTGGTAGTGGATCTGAAAAGAAGAAATATGTCGAATATCTGCAAGATGATTTTTTTGGATCAGCTTTTGATGGAGCCCACAAGGGAGTAGGAAATTCTAGATTTAGTGATGTGTAATGAGGCAGATTTGATTAGGGAGCTTAAGGTGCGGGAACCTGTATGGGGCAGTGACCATAATATGATAGAGTTCACCCTGTAGTTTGAGAGGGAGAAGCTGGAATCAGATGTAACAGTATCACAGTTGAATAATGGTAACTGCAAAGACATGAGGGAGAAGATAGCCAGATTTGTTTGGAAAGAGAGCCAAGCAGAGAAGATGGTGGAGCTGCAATGGCAGGAGCTTCTGGGGCTAATTCGGGAAGCACAACTGAAATTCATCCCAAGGAAGACAAAACATACTAAGGGGAGGATTGAGGCAACCATGGTTGACAATGCAGATCCAGACAGTACAAAAGAAAAAGAGAACATATACAATATGGTGAAGATTAGTGAGAGGCCATAAGATTGAGAAGCTTTTTAAAAACCAGCAGAAGATAGCTTAAGAAAGGCAATAAGTGGGAGAAGATGAAATAGGAGCTGAATAATGCTAGTAATATAAGAAAAGGTTGCAAGAGTCCTTTTTTTTTTTAAGATATCTAATGGGTAAGAGAGGCAAGAATGGGCACTGGACTGCTGGAAAGTGAGACTGGAGAAGTAGTATTGAGGAACAAAGAAATCCTGGAGGAACTGAATAAGCAGTTTGCATCAGTTTTGACAATAGAAGACCGGCAGCATACCAGAAATTCAAGAGTTGAGGACAGAGGTGAGTGTGGTGGCTGTTACTAAGGAGAAGGTGCTGGAGAAGCTGAGAGGTCTGAAGGTGGATAAATCACCCGGACCAGTTGGACTACTCCCCAGAGTTGTGAAGATGGCGTCTGAAGCGATTGTAGGGACATTGGTGGTAATTTTTGAGGAATCGCTGGAGTCAGGGAGGGTGCCAGAGGATTAGAAAATGGCTAATGTAACATCCCTGTTTATGAAGGGGTGGGGGGGCAGAAGACAGGAAACTGGGCCAGTTAGCCTGGCCTCAGTCGTTGGTAAGATTTTAAAGTCCATTATTACAGATGAGATTGGAGCACTTGGAGTGCATGGTTAAATAGGGCTGAGTCAGCACGGCTTTATCAAGAGGAGGTCATACCTGACAAATCTGTTGGAATTCTTTGAAGAGGTAACCAGCAAGTTAGACAAAGACAAGGCAGTGGATGTGATCTAGTTGGCCTTTGACAAAATGCCGCACAAGAGGCTGTTAAATAAGTTAAGACCCCCTGGTGTTAGGATTGGCTGATTGGCAGAAGACACAAGAGTAGAGATAAAGGGTCTTTTTCAGGATGGTAGCCAGTGACTGGTGGAGTTCTTCAGGCATCCATGTTGGGACCACAACTATTCACGTTATATATTTACGATCTGGGCAAAGGAACTGGGCATTGTTGCTAAGTTTACAGATGAGACAAAGATAAGTGGAGGGACATGTGGTATTGAGGAACTGGGAAGGCTGTAAAAGGACTTGGACAGGCTAGGGGAGTGGACAAAGAAGTGGCGCACAATACAATATGGGAAAGTGTGAGGTTATGCTCTTGGGTAGGAAGAATCAAGGCATTGACTATTTGCTAAACAGGGAAAGGCTTTGGAAGTCTGAAGTGCCGAGGGACTTGGTCCTAGTTCAGGATCCTGTTAAGGTTAACATGCAGGTTTACTTGGGAGATAGGAAGGCAAATACAATGTAAGCATTCGTTTTGAGACGGCTAGAACATAAGCAGAGATGTACTGCTGAGGCTATATTAGGTTCTCGTCAGACCATGTTTGGAATACTGAAGTTTTAGGCCCCATTTCGAAGGAAGGATGTGCTGCATTGGAGGTGGTCCAGATGAGATTTACGAGAAGATCCCGGTGTCGTTTGAGGAGCTGGGTCTGTACCCTATGGAGTTTAGAAGGATGGGGCAGTGGGAGTGATCTGATTTGAAATTTATAAAATACTGAGAGGCCTGGATAGAGTGGATGTGGAGAAGATGTTTCAACTAGTAGGAGAGGGTAGGATCCAAGGGCACAGCCTCGGATTGAAGGATGACTCTTTAGAACTGAGATGACGAGGAATTTCTTCAGCTAGAGAATAGTCAATCTCTAGAACTCATTGCCACAGAAGGTTGTGGAAACCAAGACATTGAGTGTCTTTAAGACCAGGGTAGGTTCTTGATTAGTAAGGAGATCAAGGGTTACAGGGAGAAGTCAGGAGAATGGGGCTGACTAACAGACCAACCACGATTGAACGGCAGAGTATACTCAGTGGGCCGAATAGCCTACTCCTGCTCCTACATCTTGTGGACTACCAAATCCAGCCAAAACCTTAAATGTTCCCTTAACTAGCTTCCTGTGAGATTGAAAGATTTTTTCGAAACTGATCATTTTTGAACCATGACAAAAACATGAATTGAGTAGATTAAAGGCGAAAACATAAGTCATTCAAGTACTTTTGTATTTATTCACTTTCTTGCCTGGTATTATTGCCTTTTTGTTGGTTCTTTTTCATTTGCTCATTCTTGAACACGCTTCCTTCTAGTTATCATTGTTTCTTGTCATCACTTCTGTACTTGTTTTTACATTATCTCTTTCCACCTCTTAACATGTTTGTTAATTACTTTTCTAATCCTCTCTTTTCTCTGTTTGGAACTTTTCATTGTAATTGATCATTTGTGTGCCATTCCATTGAATGCCAAATTTTAAATCAAAAGTACTGATTTTCTGAAGAAGGGTCCAGACCGGAAACATCAGCTTTCCTGTTCCTCTGATGCTGCCTGGCGTTCATCCAGCTCTACACCTTGTTATCCTATGTTAGATGCCTTTTTTATTGTTCATTGATGTAGCTCTAATGGTTTAAGGTCATTGGCACAAAAGATAAAGCAACAGTGATTTTTAATATATATTTGCAGACAGGCTGTGTTAATTCTCAGTTGTTAAACTGGAGTCTAAATGTTCAAATGTAATTTGGATTGTCAATCCTGTTCATTGTGATATGGTCTTCAGTAATTTCAATCTGAACATTGTCACAGTCCCCATGTAACAGGCTAGAAACAGGACAAGATGCTTGATTGCTTGAGCAGCTGAAGGCTAAAAGTCCTAGGTTTCTGTATTGTTTGTGTAATGTCAATGAGCATCCATTGTAGTACAAGTCATTCTTCAATTTGTGTTTGTTTCTGTCCATTAATTTAACCTTTAAACCCATTCTAAACCCGTTTGGGCCTGAGCACTGAAACACAACATTGGGTTTTTACTTTGGCCGTTGAACACATGGTTCTAATTTTCTGTACCTCATGCTTATCCATTCACTAGCAGATTGTCATAAATTCACAAATGGCAGACTGGGGCAAAGAATCATTTAGCTTATGCTGTCAGACTCTAACATTACCATTGCAGTGAATGCCGGCCCATCGCTTTTGTTTCTGAAGTGAGGAAAATATTCAAGTTAGAACTTGTTAATCCTGTGTTCAACCTGTACTTGTTTGATCCTCCTGGAAAGTAAGATCTGATTAACTGTTTAAAAACTAATTTTTGGATCATTAACCAGCTGTCCTAATCTGATTGTGCAATATTTGCTGATAGTTAACAAAATCACCAATTTTTTGCAGTATGGAGGTCAGGAGCACCTAAATGTTCCACCACGTGAACTGCTGCTAGCTCAAACAGAGGATTATGTGGAATATTCAAGACATGGTGCTGTCTTAAAAGGCCAAGAGAAAGCAGTTGTACGTTCTAAGTATGAAGAGGATGTCCTGATTGGTAACCACACAGTAAGTGATTTGAGGTTTAATTAAAAGCACTCCACCTACTTTGATCTTACGAACTTAGAAATGTTTGATAATGTGAACAGTCCTTTAAACATTTAGTTTGATGGAATTTGTATTTCATCATAAAACAGCGCTGCTTCTTCTGTCCCCATCTCTCATCTTGGAATCATCTTGCCTCACAAACTGCAACATAGAACACGCCCTTTGGCCCACGATGTTGTGCTGAACTTTTACCCTAATCCTAAAGTCTATCTAACCTCTACCCCTACCCTCTACTATCATCCATATGCATATCTAATAGCCGCTTAAATGTCCCTAATGAGGCCGACTCCACTACCCTCTCCAGCAATGCATTCCACGTCCCGACCATTCTCTGAGTAAGGAACCTACCTCTGATGTCTCCCCTATATCTACCTCCACTCACTTTAAAATTATGCCCCCTCATAATAGCTACCTCCACCCTAGGAAAAAGTCTCTGGCTGTCTACTCTATCTATACCTCTGATCATTTTGTATACCTCTATCAAGTCACCTCTCATCCTTCGTTGTTCTGCAGAGAAAAGCCCTAGCTCTCTCAACCTTTCCTTGTAAGACCTTCCCTCCATTCCAGGCAACATCCTGGTAAATCTCCTCTGCACCTTTTCCAATGCTTCCACATCTTTCCTGTAATGAGGCGACCAGAACTGGACACAATACTCCAGATGTGGCCGCTTCAGGCTTTTGTATAGCTGGAGCATAACTTCACGGCTCTTGAACTCAATCCCTCTATTAATGAAAGCTAACACACCATACACCTTCTTAACAACTCTATCCACCTGGGTGGCAGCTTTCAGGGAACTGTGGACATGAACCCCAAGATCCCTCTGCTCCTCCACACTGCCAAGAATCTTTCCGTTAACACTGTATTCTGCTTTCAAGTTTTTCCTTCCAAAATGAATCACCTGACACTTTTCAGGGTTAAACTCCATCTGCCACTTCTCAGCCCAGCTCTGCATCCTATCAATGTCCCTTTGTAACTTAGAACAGCCCTCCGCACTGTCCACAACACGACCCACCTTCGTATTGTCCGCGAACTTACTAATCCACCCTTCCACTCCTTCATCCAAATTATTTACAAATCTTACCTTGCTCCCCATTCAGTCCTATCCTTGCCTGGTACTGCTTTATCTCCTGCTTATCTGGAAGTTCTTCATCAGGATTCTGGCCTTGGTAAAGCCATGCAATATTGAAGATTACTTATACTGAGGAGGAGAAAAGAAACTTGCATTTGTGTTGGACTTTATGACCTCGTGTCGTAGATATCTACAGCACAGAAAAAGGCCTTGATTCCATCGAGTCTGCACCAAACAAAAACAACCATCGAACTTTTCTAATTCCATTTCCTAACACTTGACTCACAGCCTTGTATGCCTTCACATTGCAAGTGTACATTTAAATTCCTGTTAAATGTACCTCCACCACCCTTTATAGACTGAGTTCAAGGTTCCCACCACCCTCTGGGTGAAAAACGTTTGCCTCTCATCCCCTCTAAACTTCCTGCCCCTTACCTTAAATCTATACCCCTGGTCGTTGATCCCTCCACCAAGGGGGAAGGTTTCTTCTTACCTACGCTGTCTATGATCCTCATAACTTTGTATATCTCAATCATGACCCCATGCAGTCTCCTCTGCTCCAGTCTCTCTTCATAAGTAAAACTCTCCAGCCCAGGCGATATCTTGGTCAGTCTCCTTTGCACTCTGTCCAGTGCAATCACATTCTCCTGTAATGTCGATTTCAGAACTGCACACAAATACACTCGTTGTGGTCTAACAAATTTTTTTATACAGTTCCAGCATAATCTCCCTTCCAGCATTATCTCCCTTCGCTTAAACTCTCAGCCTTGGCTAATAAAGACAAATGTCTCATATGCCTTCCTAGCCACATTATCTACCTACCTTAGTTCAAGAAGGCAGTTTACTACCATCTCTCAAGGATAATGAGAAATGGGCTTAAATGCTAACTAACTAGTGATGCCTGCATCTTAGAAAAAATAGAACAAAAGGTGCGTACATTAAATTTTTAAAAAATCATGTGCTTTTTCCTTTATTTGTTAAAGGGATCAGGACGTTGCTGGCTAGGCAGCATTTATTGTCCATCCCTAATTGCGCAAAGGGCAGTTCAGAGTCACCCACATTGCTGTGGGTCTGGAGTCACATGTAGGCCAGACCAGATAAAGATGGCTGCTTCCTTCCCTAAAGGGCATTAGTGAGCCAGATGGGTTTTTCCGACAATCGACAATGAATTCATGGTCATTATTAGACTCTTAATTCCAGATTTTTATTAAATTCAGATTCCACCATCTGCTGTGGCGGGATTTGAACCCCGGTCCTCGGAATGTTATCTGGGTCTCTGGATTAACAGTCCAGCGATAATAGCACTAGGCCATTGCCTCCTCCCCCCTTGTTCAAAACGATGGTTTGTATTGATGGGCATGAGAGGTAGATAACCTGTTCAAGTGCTGGCTATTAAACAGGTAGTCGTAGTGAGGGATAGAAATATCAACAACAACTTCATATAGAACAATAAGTCCCTTGAAGATCCCCCTTTCGTGGTTCTGTGAGGGAGGGGAAGGGTTCAGAAATAAAGTGGACACCCCATTTCCTCTAAAGAGTCTGTTTTATTCTCCCGATTTCTTCATCTCTATCACATCTGTTCTGATGATGCATCCTTTCATATCAATGGTTCAGATATATCTTTCCTTTTCTCAACAGAAGATTTCTTTTCACTGTAGTTAATAAGACTCCTTGTCTGTTTCTGCCCCATTTCCCCTTCCTCCAGAGCCACAATTGGATTTCCTTTGTCCTCAATTTCCATCTAATCAGCCTCAGTACTAAACAGATCCTCTTCTGCATTTTGACCACCTTGAGCGGGACACCACAAACAAATACACATGTCCCTGTCCTCTTTCTGAAGGGATTATTACCTTCACCGCACAGTCCACACCTCAATTACCCCAACATCACCTCCCCTTTTGGCACCTTTCAATGGAACTGCAAGAATGAAAACCTTTTATTACATCTTTTCTTTCCATCTGAGGTTCCAAACTCCTCTTCCACATGAAATACAAATTTAATTGACATTCATTGTTAACATTCTAATTAGGGCACTATATTCTCTGTTTACAATGCAATCTTTTATACAGTGAGGAAACCGGATATCGATTATATATCTGTTTTGTGGAATGCCTCTACTTAGTTTACATGTGAGCCTGAGCCTGTCATTTTAATTAAGAACCAAAAGAACTGCGGATACTATAAATCAGGAACAAAAACAAAGTTGCTGGAGAAGCTCAGCAGGTCTGGCAGCATCTGTGAAGGAGAAAACAGAGTTAATGTTTCGGGTCCAGTGACCCTTCCTCAGAACTTATCCAGCAACTTTATTTTTGTTCCTGTCATTTTAATTCTCTACCTTGTTCTCACTCTGACTCTTCCATCCTTAGTCTCCTACTCTTTTCTAAAGAAGTTCAACACAAGCTCAAAGAGCAGTATTTCATCTCTCAATTGGACACTTCACAGCCTTAAGGTCTCAACGTTGAGTTCAGCCATCTCAAACTGAAACCTCTGCAGCAATTTAGTCTCAGCTTGTTTTTCAGGTGGCAGTTGTTCATTGTTCTGCCATCCACACTTCTGCAAGCCTTTTTACTTGTGGCATTATTACTCTGCTTAGTCTTGCACCATTTCTCGTTTAATCTCTTCTTTAAAACCTACACAGACCTTCATTGTTCTTTTTACCATCCTCCCGTCTCCTTCAGACTTACTAAATTGAATGAAAAGTCAACAACCTAAAATGTTAATTCTATTTCTCCCTCTAAAAGTGCAGCTGGATCTACTTATTATTTTCATATTTTTAATTTTAGGTTTGCAGAATCAGCAGTGTTTTGCTTTTGTTTGTAGGCATAGAACTATTTTTGTTTGGTCCATATCTTTTAGTATCAGTAAAGTATTACTTTATAGTGTTACTTCCACTTCAAATCAATCAATGTTTTTCCAAAATAATTTTGTTAATATTACAGTAATGAGGAAATTGTCATATTTTGGATATTATAGGAAGATAATAAATATCATAAGAAAAAATGTACTCCTATACAGTGTCATGAGGAATCTCTAGTGGGATAAGTCAAAAACCCATTTAAGAAGCTGCTGTAATGAGTTTTCAAATCTTTCAGTTGCAATGCTATATTTTATGGGCACTCTTTCATTTGATGTTTTACTTGTGTGTTATCTTACAGTCTGTTTGGGGCTCCTACTGGAAGGAAGGGAAATGGGGGTACAAGTGTTGTCACTCATTTATCAAAACATCCTATTGTACAGGAGAAACAGGAAAACAGATTGCTGTAAGTACTGCAATACTTCAAAATTGTCTGTTTCATTATTCTTGCAAAATTGTGTAATTTTTCAGCAGTTTGAATGCAATCTTGTGTACTTCTAATTTATTTTTAATTATTCAAGTTGATAAGTTATTTGGTTCATATTTAACTTGGAATTACATCTTCACATATGGATTCAAATTTTAATCTTGGATGAATATTCCATCACACTGTTGACTTCAGCTTTGTAAGTAATGGAAGAGTAGTTTTGGAAGTGAGCTGCTCATTGCAAGCTAATCACGATCCGCTCCGTTCTTGAACTGTGGAGTTAATGTGGACAGTCCAGTTAAGTTTCTGAAATAGATAGTGCAGATTGTTATGCCATTAGGGCTAGAGATGATTAAGCTTTCTCTTGTTTGAACTGATCATTCTCAGCCACTTTTAAGCTTAGACCTGAATGATATCTAGATTCTGCTGTAGTCTGACATAGGATGCTTCTTTATCCAAGATCAGAAGTCACACGACACCAGGCTATAGTCCAACAGGTTTATTTGAAATCACAAGCTTTTGGACCACTGCTCCACCTGACGAAGGAGCAGCACTCCAAAAACTTGTGTTTTCAAATAAACCTGTTGGACTATAACTTGATGTTGTGTGACTTCTGACCTTGTCCACCCTAGTCCAACACCAGCATCTTCACATCATCTTTATCCAAGGAATTCCGAATGAAGTCAAACGTGATTTATTCAGTGACGAACCACATTGACATTATGAAAGAGGAGGATGTCATGATAAAACCAGTAGTTGAAATAAACTGAAGTTGTAAGTCCATACCTTGGGTACGTAGAGAGTTATAGGGTTCAACAGAAGTACAGAAACTAAATGTGCATATAGTAAAGATAAACTAATACTTTAATGATAACATTATTTTAAATTTAAAATTATATTTTATTTTCCGATTCTGTTGAAAGACCTACATATGAACCATTAACATGTTATTGGGGTGGCATCGACCTAATGCTAACATTATCAGACTAGTAATCCAGAATCCATAACATGGTAGCTGGTGAAATTTGGATTCCATAACAATCTGCAATTAAAGCCTAATCTAATGACAACCATGTCACCATTGTCACCCATCTGGCTCACAAATATTTTTTAGGGATAGAAATGTGCCATCTTTACCTCATCTGGTCTACTTGTGACTCCAGACCCACAGTAGCCTGGTTAACTCTTTACTGCTCATGAAGTGACCTAGCAAGCCGATCAGTTCAAGTGCAGTTAGAGATGGGCAATGGGGGCTAACCCAGCCAGCAATGTCAACATCTAGTTAATGATTTAAAAAAAAAAAAAGACTCTCACTAGGTTCTGGTGGACTGCTGTATTCCCAATGGTATCATTCTTTCATAATAGATGAATTATTGAATGGTAGATTCAATGCTAGATTTCAACCTTAATCCATATGTTGCACTTCTTTTCTCATTTAGGTGGAGGATAAATCTGAATTTCCAAGTGAGATCCCCAGTTCTAACCAGGAAGCATGTGAAAACATACCAAAAACTTTAGTGGAGGCAAGTACCACTTTCACGTAAAAACTGAAAGAAACTGTGGATGGTATAAATCAGAAACAAAAACAGAAATTGCTGGAAAAGCACACCAGGTCTGGCAGCATCTGTGGAGAGAAATCAAAGTTAACGTTTTGGTTTGAGTGACCCTTCTTCAGAACTCTGTCAAGAGATGATTAAGCTTTCTCTTGGTTGAATGAAACGGAGTTCTGAGATAGGGTCACTAAACCCAAAACATTAAGCCTGATTTCTCTCCATGCTGCCAGACCTGCCAAGTTTTTCCAGCAATTTTTGTTTTTATGATTTTCACATGCTGCTTTGTCCAAATGTAATAGAAAGCTTTAGAAACCTGAGTTTTATTTTATTCGACAACCACTTGAATCTGTGGCTGTCTGAATTTCTTCATAATTTCCCTTGTTTTTAATACTGATAACATTTGAATACTTAGCAGCAGGTTCCTGACTTCCAATGGTATCTTTGTAGTTCTCTTTCAAAGAAATGCTGCCTACCTGCTGAACATTTCTGATTTCAATCATCTCCTGTTAGGTGAAAATCACATTTTTTCAAACGCAGCAATTTTTTGTTATTTGCCATTTGCAGAGCTTTATGATGTTATAACAAATGTTAATGTGTTGGCTGGGGTACTGGTTAGCCAATTTGGGTAAGTGGCTAGTAGTGTGCGATTCAGAATAATCGCAACAATATGGGAGTTGGTTTCCATTCTGGTTGAGGTGTGTTTGGACCTCTCTGTTCACTCTGTTCACCCCATAGTGATTCAGTGATCTTTTTAAATAATTAAACAAGTCACCTAGTAACAAAGAAAGATGTTGATGTAATGCTTAATCTGTTACAAAGACACCATCTGAATCAAACATTTACTTGAATAATGTTATCCTAAATAGAGACTGGCCCTTCAGCAGTCCAATTTAGATCATAATGTGGGACGAGCATAATTAATAAGCTTGCAACAATTGGAAATACAATCTGCCCACAACTGTAGACACTTCTAGGTCTTGTTAACTGAAATGTACTTGGTGGGTGTGGTACTTTAAGTGGGAATCAACTTGAGCATTGGGGCATATTTCTATTTCCTTATGCAATATGAAACACAGCAGCTGTTGCAATGAGCCAGTGACCAACATGTGAACTCTAAAAGGAATTGGCTTTATTTTATTCATTTGTGTGATGAGTGTCACTGGCTGGCCAGCATTTATTGCCCATTCTTAGTTGCTGTTGAGAAAGTGGTGGTGAACTGCCTTCTTGAAGCACTGCAGTCCATTTGTTGTAGGTTAGAGAGGGAACAGTGATATATTTCCAACTTGGAATGGTGTGTAGCTCGGTGAAGAACTTGCAGATGGTGATATTCCCATGTATCTTGAACTTCTGGATGGATGTGGTCGTGGGTTTGGAAAGTGCTGTCTAAGGATTTCTGTTAAATTTCTGCAGTGCATTTTGTAGATAGTAGCAGCAGTGTGTACTGAGTGTCGGCGGTAGAGGGAGTGGATGTTTTGGATGTGCTGTCAAAACAGGGGGCTACTCTATCCTGGATGGTGTTGAGCTTCCTGAGTATTGTTAGAGCTGCACCTGTGCAGGCTGGTGGGGAGTTTTCCATCACATTCCTGATTCACCTGGTAGATGATGGACAGGCTTTGGGGAGTCAAGAGGTGAAATTACTCACCATAGTGTTCCTAACCTCTGACTTTCTCTTGCAGCCACTATGTTTGTGGCGAATTCAGTTGAGCTTCTAGTCAATAGTAACCCCAAAGTTGTTGATAGTGAGGGATTCCGTGATGGTGACACGGTTGAATGTCATGGAGCGCTAGTTAGATTATCTGGCATTTGTCTGGCGCAAATGTTACTTGCCACTTGGCAGCCCAGGCCTGGATATTTTCTAGATTTTGTTGCATTTGACCATGCAGATACTGCTTCAGTATCTAAAGAGTCAGAAACGGTGCTGAACATGGCGTAATCATCAGCGAGCATCCCACTTCCGACCTTATGATGGAGGGTGGGCCATTGAAGCAGCTGAAGATGTTTGGGTCTGGGACACTACGCTGAGGAACTCCTGGAGCTGAGATAACTGACCTCCAGCCACCACGACCATTTTCTACGTGCCAGATATGACTTCAACAGCAGAGGGTTTGCCCCGATTCTCATTGATTCCAGTTATGCTAGGGCTTGTTGATGCCATGCTTGGTTGAATGTGGTCTTAATGTCAAGAGCTGTCACTCCTGCCTCACCTCCAGAATTCAGCTCTTTACAGCCTTGGTTCAAACATGGACTAATGAGATTGGGAGTTGAGTATCCCAGGCAGAGCCCAAACTGGGTTATCACTGAGCAGCTTATTGCTGAGCAAGTGCTGCTGGACAGCACTGTTGATAACCACCTTTCATCTCAGTGGTTAGCACTGCTGCCTCACAACGCTAGAACCCGGGTTCGATTCCACCCTCTGGTGGCTGTCTGTGTGGAGTTTGCACATTCTCCCTGTATCTGCGTGGGTTTCTTCCGGGAGCTCCGGTTTCCTCCCACAGTCCAAAGATGTGCAGATTAGGTGGATTGGCCGTGCTAAATTGCCTGTAGTGTCCAGATGTGTAAATTAGGTAGATTAGACATGGGAAATGCCAGGTTACAGGGAAAACGTAGGGGAGTGGGTCTGGGTGGGATGCTCTTCAGAGGGGTGGTGTGGACTTGGTGGGCCAAATGGCCTGTTTCCACACCGTAGGGATTCTATGATTTTATGATCAAGAGTAGACAGATGGGGTGGTTATTGGCCTGGTTGGATTTGTCCTGCTTTTTGTGTACAGGACTTACCTAGGCAATTTTCCACATTGTCAGGTAAATGCCAGTTACAGCTTGGCCAGGGGAGCAGCAGGTTCTGAATCAAAAGTCTTCAGTACTATTGCCAGAATGTTGCCAGGGCCCATAACCTTTGCAGCATCTAGTGTCTCCAACCGTTTCTTGATATCACATGGAGTGAATCAAATTGCCTGAAGACTGGAATCTATGCTGCTGGCATCCACTGGAGGAGGCCAAGATGGATCATTCACTTGGCAGCTATTGCTGAAGATTGCTGGGAATGCTTTGGCCTTATTTTTTGTACTGATGTGTTGGGCTCTTCCATCGTTGAGGATGGGAATATCTGTGATTTGTTTAGTTGTTCACCACCATTCACGACGGTATGTGGTAAGACTGCAGAATTGGTTGTGAGATCACCTTAGCTCTATCACTTGCTGCTCATGCTATTTGGCACTCGGTGGCCTTGTTTGGTAGCTTCACTGGATAGACATCTCGTTTTTAGGTATGCCTGCTGCTGCCCCTGGCGTGCCCTCCTGCACTCTCCATTGAACCGGGGATCCCCAATTTACAAACATCTGACTTACGGACAGTCGTAGTTACGAACATGATCCCATACATGGTGGTAATTTTCGAGACCTAACCTACAAACATTTCCTGTACTTACGAGCAACTGCTTTCCATTGTCCTGCATTGTGTTCCAACTTGCAAGTAGTTCAGTTTAGAGTCATAAAGTCATACAGCACAGAAACAGACCCTTTGGCTCAACTTCTCCATGCCGACCAGGTATCCTAAACTGAACTAGTCCGATTTGCCTGCAATTGGCCCGTATTCCTCCAAACCTTTCCTATCAATGTGCCTGTTCAAATGTCTTTGAAATGTTGTAATTATACCTGCCTTTCCCACTTCCATACACTCACCACCCTCTGTCTGAAAAGCTGCCCCTTGAGTCCCTTTTATGCTTTTCCTGTCTCACCTTAAACGTATGCACTCTAGTTTTAGAATCCCCTACTCTTGGAAAAAGACCTTTACCTGTTCACCTTATGTGTGCCCCTCATGATTTTATAAATCTCTATAAGGTCATCCCTCAGCCTCTGACACTCCAGGGTGAAAAGTCCCAGGCTATTGTAACTCAAACCTTCCAGTCCCAGCAACATTCTTGTAAATTTTTTCCTGTACCCTTTTTAGTTTAACACCATCCTTCCTGTAGCATGGCGACCAGAATTGTAATGTAGCAATTAAAGATGATAAACTGCGTATGCTTAATTTCTGTCTCTTGTTTCTACTTTCTGTTCTTGTGCAAATAAAACATGGCTTATTTTATTTGTTGTTCCATTTGGATTGACCAATCACAATTTTTTTGTAGATGAGTTGCATTCTCCAATGGTGCCACTTAACAGTGACTTGCTGAATGCCTAAGTCAATGAAGCATAAGCTTCCTTTCTTGTGGAAAAATGTCTCCGTTTTATTCCATTGCCTCCAGTGCAACATTCCTCTCCCTCCAAAATGTGTAATATATACCTATCAAAACATAATAATTGGTTAATATTTACCATCATCTTTTCCCAGGAGTAAAGAATATGTGCTTTGGAGCTCAAACATGTTCAGGAAGTACCACAATGCAAAACTCACCAAGAAGCATCCTTGTGAACAGAGTTCAGAACAGAACCCTTTTGCAACCTGTATTAATTATTTATAACACCAGTTTGTCTGTTTGTTATAGATTCATAAAGAAAAACTTAAAGAAAGCAATAAGAAAAAGAAGAAACATAGAAAAAATCATGGTTCAGACAGTGAAGATGAAGAAGCAAAGAAGCAAGAAAAACTGAAAAAGGTTTGAGTTATATATATCCTAGCTCCTCCTCCCTTTTCAAAGAATCTTCTTAAATATGCTTGAGTAAATCTAATTTGATTAAATTCCTACAGTTAATTAATTCACTGTTAACACTTTGTTTACCAAAACGATATTTTATTTCTGTCCAACGGATGTGCAAACAGGTAGAACTACGTAAATGAGATAACTAAATTGAATCTTAAACTTTACAAAATTACACTGAGGAGTCCATTAGTTCTATTAATTTGATAAGTCAGTTCTAATTTATATTTTGGATTAACTTTAACAGTGCAAATCAATAGTAAAAATTCAGTGTAAAAGTGAAATATTGAAACATTTGATTGTTGTTGTGCTGCCTTTCGTACATTGATTACATCTGTGCATGACAGCTTCTATTCCACATTTATAGAATAAAATTTATTATCTGTCAAAAGTCCCTTTAATAGGGGTCTTTAACTGACTACAGTTCAAATAGGCTATCCTTGGATTTTGTAAAGAAAGCATTTGTTGTTCTGCATAGTTTTATTTAATTGTAGTTTATCTCCAATAATACATGGCATAAAAAGTTAGTTAGTATATATCAAATTTTTAGATATTGAAGTACAGATCTATTGCTTTACATCACTTGTGCTGCAAGTGGAAATGTGTTATTATTGAATAATACACTACATGCACAACTATGGTGATCTGGTGTGCTGGAACAGCTTATACTCTATCCCACCTAATGCTTTTTGACCAATTTCCTTTTCTCATACTCCTGACAGTTTCCATGCTGGATAACCCTGACTGCATCTTGCTGTAATGTTTCTCACAAAAAAAAATGACTGCCACATCACATCCCTTTGATTAATGTCCATTTTTATTCAATTATGCCGTTATAATGTGCCTTTGAAGGAAGGTATAAGGAATGTTTCAAATGCAACTTGGCTGTTACTTTACTGTCAGATGAATTTTGTAGCTGTATAGCAGGCAGCAAAAGCTGACTGTGATTTACCAATGATGTGTGTAGTGTAGCACATTCTAGTGCCTGTTGAAATTGTTATGTAATTGATATGCAATTGATCTCACATGAATCAGTAATTTTTGAGTTACATTTCCTCTTTAGTAGTTTCACCTTCTGTAACATCAAATACTCTTCATTTTCAGCTTGCATTCTCCTAATAATTAATTCTATGATCTTTATCGAAAATGGGAAGTAACGAGACCACCCTTTGCAAAATAAAATCACATGTGAAATCATATATGAGTAAAAATAATACCATAATATTTTTAACAAATACACCAGCATTAGAATCTGTGTTAACACAATTAATGTTAATATAGGGGACAGATAATCTATAGGTAAGTGCTAGCTCATTTGTATTTTTGGAGCGATCCTATAAGCCCTGCACCTAACCCTTTATCAGTATGCCTGGCACATTGCTGGTTTGTCTGTTTTGCATGCTTTAGAAATCAGTTATTAAGCTTTCAAGATTGTGGCAGCAGTTACATAGCAACATGATGTTTAATTTTAACATACTCAGGCCCTGGTTGCTGAAGAAGCTCGTTTGAAGCAAGTTGAACAAATTTTGCAAATTGATGAACGTAAGCGAGGTTACAACAGCATACATGAAATAAAAGAACCTACAGAAGAAGAAATGGAGGCATACAGAATGAAACGTCAAAGACCTGAAGATCCAATGGCTTCTTTCCTTGGAAAGTAATGTATGACTTCTGTCAAGGTTAAATAATTGAACGTTCCCAGAATCTATGAACACCAGTGCTACAGAGGTTTGATTTGTCAGATCTGCTCACAAGCTGAAAATAAAATTCCATTTTTGTTTAACATATAATGAATTCAGTATCTCTTTTTGCAAATGCTGAATATTTTGCAGTGTTCCCTGCATGGAGAAACTGGTAGTGTTCATCTCTTCTGGATTTGGTTTGATTTGGCAAATAGTTTTATACTGTTTAAGGATTTGTCATTTTAATATGCTTGTTTGTACAGTGTCAAGAACTTGGAGTCTTCAAGTAATTTGAATTATTCAGTTTATAGTCAGTTCTACTGAGTTTGCATGGGTATGATGGGCCAAATGGCCTCCTTATTTGCCATAATAATTTAAACACATGACTCATGCATATGCTAACTCAAGGTTTAAAAAGCCTGCAAATTTAATTCTTGCTTTGCCATAAGCTCTCTAACCGTACAATTGCAGATATGACTATTTTCAAATGTTTAATTTTCTTTTTGATCACTTATTTACAGTACTTTAAAGGTACTGTATTTTTTTGCACATTTTCTGTGTAAAGTTTTTACACCATCTTGAGATCAACTTTTAAGATTTGTCCTTATTGACAATAAAATCTGCGTTGACTGCAAGAAATCTAAGAAAAAGAATTATGTACTTTTTGATGCTGGTTATTATGATCCTCCCCTCTTTTCCATGTTCCCCATTTGATCCCCATTTCCCAATAGAGGACCAACTATTTATCAGTGTAATTCTTAAATAGACCGCCATTTTAAGAAATGTTTAACATGATTTAATTCTTCAAGCCTGACTTCCTATCCCTGTTGGAAACTACTTCTGATTATTTACTTGTGACAACACTGATGGAAACTGAAATTTGGAAATTTCTTGAATTGCAGTTACAAGGTTACCCACCAGTGTGTCCCCCATGACAGAACCTATGAACTGAAGAACATGTTTTGAGCATTCACCCTGATGGTTTTTGCGATTAACATGCTGAGGAGCAGGCAATTTGTAGTGGCACTACACTGTTTAACAAACACACAATTGTTGACCAAGGTGGCAAGAATCATGCACAGTTGACCTTCAAAGTAATTAATTTGAAGGCCAAACTTTATTTTTGGTGTGGGTTGAATGGATTGGACAGTTGCTACTATACAGTCCCTACCTCAACCGCATATAGTTTGCTGAACATCCAATGACCATTTTCCTACAGAAGACGCTAGATAGAGATGAGGAACAGAGAATCTGGCTAGCTATTTTAATTTTCTTTGCTTCCTGTGTAATCTTGTATTCAAACCTACCGACTGTCTCCATAGTATTTCATCCTTTAGCTCTCTTTTAGTCAGAAAAGAAATCCAGTTGAGAGATAGCAAGAACTGCAGATGCTGAAGTCAGTCGATAGTGTGTGGAGCTGAAGGAACACAGCAGGTCAGGCAGCATCAGAGGAGTAGGAGTGTCGACGTTTCAGGCCTAGACTCTTTGTCAGGACTGGGGAGGTGGGGAGGGAGCTGGGAAATAAATAGTGGAAAGAGGCGTGGGATAGTGATTGGTGGATGCAGGTAGGGATAGTGGGGATTGGTCAGTGGGAACGGTGGGGCGGAAAGATGGGGAAGGAGATGGACGGGTAGTGTCAAGTCAAGGAGTCGGGGATGAGAGGGAGGGTTTGGACATGGGATGAAGCCAGGGGGTGGGTAAATTTTAAAACCGGTGAATTCTATGCTTAAGCCATTGGGCTGTAGGCTCCTGAGGCAGAATATGAGGTGTTGTTCCTCCAGTTTGCATGTGGCATCATTGTGGCACCAGAGGAGGCCCAGGATGGACATGCCACAGAAGGAGTAGGAGGGAGAGTTAAAATGGTTAGCAGCTGGAAGGTGTCGTTGATCATAGTGTATCAAATCTGTCACCAAGTCTACGTCTGGTCTCCCCAATGTAGAGGAGGCCCCATCGGGAGCAACGGATACAGTACACCAGGTTGGAGGATGTACAGGTGAATACCTGTTGGATATGGAAAGTTTATCTTGAGCCTTGGATGGAGGTGAGAGGGGAGGTGTTGGGGCATGTGTAGCACCTCTTGCAGTTGCAGGGAAAGGTGCTGGGTGTGGTGGGGTTGGTGGGGAGTGTGGAGCGGATGAGGGAGTCGCAGACTGAGCAGTCCTTACGAAAGGCAGATAGGGGTGGGGAGAGAAATATCTCTTTGGTAGTGGGGTCCCTACACCTTCCAGTTGCTAACCATTTTAACTCCCCCTCCCACTTTCTGGGTGACATGTCCATCCTGGGCCTCCTCCAGTGCCGCAATGACGCCGCACGCAAACTGGAGGAACAACACCTCATATTTCGACTTGGGAGCCTACAGCCTGATGGTCTAAACATGGAGTTCACCAGTTTCAAAATCTCCCGAACCCTTGCCTCATCCAATCTCCAACCCTCCCTCTCATCCCCGCCTCCTTGACCTGACACTACCTCTCCATCTCCTTCCCCACCTAACTGCCCCACCATTCCTACTAACCAATCCCCACTACCCCTACCTGCATCCATTTATCGCCATCCCACCTACCTTCCCCCAGCCCACCATCTTCCTTCTATTTATTTCCCAGCTCCCTTCCCCCTCCCCAGTCCTGAGGAAGGGTCTAGGCTCGAAACGTCAACTCTCCTAATCCTCTGATGCTGCCTGACCTGCTGTGTTCCTCCAGTTGCACACTATATCAAATCTATTTGAGACATTTTGTGAAATGAATCAGGAAAGACAATTTTCATTCGTTAATAGAGGCTATAAGTTTAGTATATTCCCATAATGAATGAATGCCTAGTTTTCTGATGGGCCATTAAGACATGCAATTAGATAAATAATTGAATAAGCAAAAATGAATGTCGCGTAATGATAAGAGAATGGGACTGGAATGCATAATTATTTCAGAAAGCTTATGAGAGCGATGAGCTTTTTTATTCTTCCTCCTGACATAGAATAGCATTTTACAATGAAGTCAACTGCAGGCTTGTCTCTCTGATACAAGCTCTCTGTTCCCTTTGGATACCAAGGTATTGTCAGATCTCCAGTATCTCAACTTGAGTACCATTATGAATCTGCAGAGTCTGTTGACAAGCTAGGAACTGTGTAAGGCATCACAGCTGCTCGCAGTCCTGATTGTGCTTCTTGTGAGCTCCTTGTAGTAAATACACAGTGGTTATTTTAACTCGAGGTAAACCATTTTAAATCAATTAATAAATGTGTAGTGGACTGCTACTTAAGTTATCGAATAGTTGGCAGAGAATTGCTGGGAAATGTCTATCTATTTCATTTGAACATCTTAGAATCAACATGTAAGACAGACAATACATAATATCCACATTTCTTTATTGAGGGTTGCTGATTAAAGATAGATTGTATGCATCATTGTTGAAGACAGATCTTAATATCAGAGCATGAATTGCTCATATCTACATTTGCCTGACATGGAGTGAAATGAAGGCTGAAGATATCAATTTTCTGTTTTACAGTTTGCATTCCACTATAATTGTAGGTGACTTTTTTTGATTGTTTAGCTTGTTTATTTTTTATTTATTATGAGTAATAAATTATTAAAATTTTTGCAACAATGTTTTTTCTAGCCTACAGGTAATCTCACAAAAGCACTGGGATTGCAGTGTTTTAAAGTGAGAAATTATTGGAGTTTTATTTTCTGTTTTTCTTTCTCTATTAGTTTTTTTTTCCATTGAACTCTGTGTTTTGCGCAGCGATTTAAACCCCTCATGTGATCCCATGTGTGGCCAGCCTTCACTAAATTACGGATCTATTCCATTTGAGTTTTCTTGTCTGTAATCTGTGTTGTTTTTCTTTTTTAAGAGTATGACTCTAATCTTCAGTTTTTCAAATTGGTGGTTATTTTGAGAATAAGAAGGAGCATCAGTGAAGCAACATGATCAATTTGATTGCCACTGTGCATCACATCTTTTTAAAACCACCACACAGCGCTCGGTGCTTAATCACCCAGATTTTGTGGTCGTGACAAGACATGACGAATGTCACCATTGACTTTCATCAATCCTGTAAAACAGGCAGAAGCTCTTGGAGTCTTAAGTGCACAGTTCAATGCAAAAATATTGAAGATACTGCCAACAATTTGTATGTTTCATAGGATATGCTGTTGATGTATTGAGATTTCAACCAATTCTTAATCAATGAGCTAATGAGAACATTCCCTTCTATACTGAAATATCACTGTTAAAAAGATCTTAGAAAGGTTGCACCTTTTCAATATAGATCAACTGCACTGACCACAAGTTTCTGAGATGAATAGCTTGTTTGGAAATCTTAGTGAAGTACTGAACACTTCAAATATTTATGGTAGGTTTATTTAATAAAGCTGTTTTAGATCTTTAAATTTTATTGTAACTCAATTTACTTTATTGATTAGCTTAATTTTTTTTAAATATTAAGATCGTTTGTATGTTTTGAAATTCCGTTCTTTCATTATTATACTCTGGCCAGTAGAAAGAGTAGAGGGAGCCTCTACGTGTTAACAATATAGTTGATCTCGTTTTGAAGCATATGTAAAATAAGATAGACATATTTTCCTAAATGTTGACTGAAACCTTGATCGTGCACAAAAATAATAGAAGTAGAAGAGAGAGCCAGGATCGCTAATAAACTATAAGTTGCAAACTAATGTAACACAATAAGGGTATATCATCTGTGTCACCCAAGAGTGCATTTAACAAGGTTACAATTCTGGTGTATGCCAATTAATATTTGAACAGATCTTTTAACTTATTTTTGTCCACAAGATAACTTGGTTTGATATAGAAATGGATATATATTTTCATACTCATTTGCTAGTAATTAAATTAAAATGTTTTCCAATATAACTTTACCAATTAGCAAAGTGGACCTCTTTTCCATTCAGTTGAAAATATGAGTGAAGCAAATAGGCAATTAATGTACAGTGAAACAGCACCTTTCACTTTATGACCCTATTAACTGAAGTTTATTTTCTAACTAACTCTTAATTTTCTTTTTACAATTGCATGATGCAAAAATAGTAGAAAGTGGATGCATTCTCCTAAAGATAATGGACGAAGAGTGAACTCCAGAAACAATGTTT